ATAGGAAGAGGGCAGCTACTATACATAATAGCTGCTGAGGTGGTGGGAGACCTATCACACTCCCACCAGCTGTAGAGCAGGGTTCCTCTTTTCCCACAGCCCCGCCAGCATTTGTTATTGGTTGATTTCATGACAGCAGCCATTCTCTGGGGTGAGGTGGAATCTCAGTGTTGTTTTCATCTGCATCTCTCAAATGACGAGTGATGTTGAACATTTTTTCATGTATTTATTTGTTTTTTGTACTTCTTTGAGAAATATCTGTTCATTTCAGATGTCCATTTTTGGATTGGGTCTTTAAATTTGGGAGGTCTGATTTTTTGAAGTTCTTTATAGATTCGAGATAGTAGACCTTTGAGGAACAGGAGGTGAAGATTTTTTTCCCACATTGTGGGTTGTCTCTTCACACCCTGGTGGTTTTTCTTGCTGTGCAGAAGCTTTTTAATAAGAGATCCCACTTGTTGATTGTTTGTGCTAGTTCTCGGGCAACTGAGGTTTTGCTCATGGAATTTTTTCCTACCCCAATGTCTTCAAGAGTTCTACCTAACCTCTGTTCAACTGTGCAGTTAAAATGGAAAAGCAGCCATAAACAGTATATGAAAGAATAGTTGTAATGTGCTTTTTTTTTTTAGGTGTAATGTGCTTTAATAACACTTTTTCATGAACATTGAAATTTGAATTTCATATAAGGTGTTGTTCTTCTTTTGATTTTTTTCCCATCCATTTAAGAATGTGAAAATCATTCCCAACTTCCGGGCCATAGAAAAAGGCAGCTGGCCAAGTCTGACCATCAGTTGCTGATTCCTGGTCTATTTAATCTCTATAGGTAATGCCAAGTGATGTCCAAACACTTGTGAATGGATTTGCCAAAAATCCTTTGCAACCTCATAGAGAAGGACTGTTATTTCAAGGAAAAGGACTACAAATGTGTCCGGGCAGATGACTGTTCTCTTTATGCTAAGAGTGCGAGTGTTCAAGATTTGAAGACAGCTGGTAAAAAACCTTAAGAATTTTGACTTCTGTTTTCTTTACCTCTCCTGAGACTCCCCCCAAAATAGATTAAGCTCATTACTGCCTCAAGGCATTAAGCGTTCTAGGGTTCCGAAGGCATATCTGAAAGAAAGCACTATCAGAAAGCCTGGTTTTGACAAATAGCCATTGCAGAATTTATCAACTGAACCTTGCTGGAACTGTCTCTTTACAGTACAATCCATCTTTCATAAGCTATTTTCTCCTCCTTTAAAAAAAAGTGATACAGGTTGAGTATTCCTTGTGAGACATGTTTGGAGTTTGGAATATTTCCATACACGTGTACATAATTAGATATCTTGGGAATGGGACCCAAGCATAATCACAAAATTCATATTTCATATACACCTGATGGATATAGCCTAAAGGTAGTTTTATACAATATTTTTACTGTGCCTGCATTTTTACTGTTGGTGCTCAAAAACGTGGATTTTGGATCATGTCAGATTTTTAAAGATTAGGATTTTAGTGTATCATTCCTATGCTCAAACTGTCTCTTGGTTATTACCTGTAAGGAATTGGATGGTTTATATTATGAATTAGGCACACTTCATATTACAAGTTAAATACCTCATTTTACTATTGAGAAAAATGTGGCTTCACATAGGTTAAACAGTTCAGCAGAAAGTGGAGGTGGTAGGGTTCAAGCTCAGAGCTGTCCAATCCCCAGATGTATCACCTTCACATTACATCAGTTGTTCTACTGGGATAGGGCATATTAAAATAGTTGAAAAGCTTCTTTATAGTATGCATGCTGTTATTACAACAGTCTGAATCATTGTCAGGAAAGACGAGAAGGCGAGAAATCGTGACAAATGCAGCTGGAAGGTAACTGCTGGTCCTGTGGTTATGACCAAGAACAGGGCCTTATGTTTTCTTCTTCGTCCAGGAGAACACTGGTGTGGTTGTTGTGAAGACCCGTCTGTACCTGCTGGTGGCCACTTACACAGCAGGCATGTATCCTAGCGTCTGTGTGGAAGCCACAGAGAAGCTGGGTAAGTTGGCCTCCCAATGCCTGTCTTTCTTCCCCATGCTAGGTTTTCAGACTGCAAGCGACAGAGATCCACTCAGACCAGCTAGGGAAGTGCGTTATTCACCTTGCCATCACTGACCAATCACTTGAGAAATTTGACTTTGGCTCATGGTTTCAGAGATAGGCTATATCATGGTCCATGATAGGCTATTCTAAGGCAGAAACATAATGGTAGAACGACATGTGCATGAAAGCTGCTCACTACAGGGCAGCAGAGGCGGAGAGAGCAGGTGCGGGCAGCCTTTTACCTTCCTGTTTTTGTTTCATTTGGGTCCCCATCCTATAAAATGATGCCGCCCACGTTTAGGGCAGGTCTCAATTTGCCAGTTTTCTCCATGCTACTTCTCTAACACAAATCAGGTTTGTTTTAAAAATAAATATATACATATACTAGTGGGTCATATACATTTATAAACTGACATGTTAAATTCTAGGTCCTCGGTTTTTTTAAAAAAAGAGAAACTAGGGCCGGGGATTTAGCTCAGTGGTTCTGCCTCCTGCCTCACAAGCGCAAGGACCCAAGTTCGATCCCTGGTACCAAAAAAGTAATAATAAATAAAAATAAAAGTAAAAAAGAGAAACTTAAGCATATTTTGTGACATTTAGCATTGTCATGGAATTGTTAAAAAACTATAGTTTTTCCTTAAATTTCCTGTGGTCACTCTACAAATTAAAGTTGGGAAAGAGAACTCTCAGAAGCCAACCACATTTCTTAGTTTTCTTCATTTGAGTTGCTGCACTGTGTAAGAACATATGCTAGAGAACTGGGCTCTGTCTGTTGACAGCTACTTCATGGTTCTGATATTTTGTTTGTTCTCATGAGAGTTTCATCTGGGACCTTATTGCCAAGTGTGTAACATGGATCATAGGGAGATGTGATTCATTTTGCAGAATGTGTCTTGCAGTTAACTTTTAATTAAGTTAACTTTTTAGGAGTCTACTTCTCCCATGATTGTCATCTGTCATGATTGCAGGAGAGGAAGGTAAATTAAGTAATATCCAACAGTCAGTTTAAGAAAAGAGAATTTTTGATGAGTGAAGTTACCAGCTTTCAAAGTTTTCTGATTAATAGCTTAACAAGTGGAGTGCTAGATTCAGTTTTAAACCTTCATCTTGGAATACACACTGGGGAGGAGGTAACAGGTTCGTTTGTTCCCAGGATGCCTCTCCCATCCTCCTTCCTTTAATGACCTTGTGCTCCTTCGTTCAACAGACGAAGAGTCAATTCATCCTCTAGAACAGCTCAAATATATTTTTTTCCAGTATGAGGATTGAATGCAGAGTCTTTGCATTGAACTATACCCTCAGCCCTTTTTTAAATTTTTCTTTTTGAGACAAGATCTCACTAAGTTGCCATATTGTTCAGGTTGGACTTGAATTTCAATCCTCCTGCCTCAGCCTCCCAGAGTTCTGTGATTACAGACGTGCACCATCACACCAGGATTCAGATACCTCGTGTGGCATTCCTTACGCTGAAATATGACTGATGTTTGTATACAGCCATTTCCCCTACTATCCAGCGAACTCCACGAGAGCAGGCACTGCGTCTCAACTACCCAGTCATCCTTGTTTCCCCACGTGGTCACCCAAGACTGCTTGTAGACCGATGAATGGATGAACAAATGAATGGATCACATTGTAACAATGTATTACTCATAAATAATAACCATGTTGGGCTTTCTTACAGGAGACTATCTAAGGAAAAAAGGAAGTTAAGTCACCCAAGGAGTATGAAAGACAACTTTATTATTGTATAAGAAAACTATTGATTCTACAAAAAAACTCCACCTTATTTTGTATTTGAAAAATACTAAGCAGGAAATACTAAAAAAGAAGACTGAGTTGAGAGAGAAATTTTTCTTGTTTCAAGATATATCATCTTCTTTAATTGGAATTACTTGATCACCTTTTTCTTTTAAGTGTCAGTCATTGCCAAGGAATGTGAGAGTGCTGATAGTTTCACAAGACATGTCTGTGGGGCGTTTCACCCCCACGAGGCTCTTATATCCTAGACATCTTGTTAGGTACTCCAAGAATGTGAAGCCTGAACCCCTCTATCCAGGCCACTTCTCAGGGTTACATAGCAGCAAGCAGCCTTTAAAAATGAAGTAACGTCTTCCTTCAGGGCACACAGCAGACTTGCTTACTGCTTGCTATGAAAGCGGTAGGGTCCCTGAGCTCAGGGTTCCTCTCCTGTAATCCAGTTCATTGCGTGTGTGACTTCTGTCTGGTCTACCTCACCCATGTTGGACCCAGAAGATCAGGAACCATTGCAAAGACCACCCAACAGTGGGCCACCAGTCAAGGAATTAGGTGGACATTACACATTGCAACTGCAGGCATCGAGTATTGTTGGTCATTGTAAAGGCTTCTCAAAAATTAGAAGGATTGGGCCGGGGATTTAGCTCAGTGGTTTCGCCGCCTGCTCACAAGTCCAAGGACCCATGTTCAATCTCCAGTACCAAAAAAAAAATTAGAAGGATTAGCCAGGCATGGTGGTGCATGCCTGTAATCCCAGCACTCAGGAGGCTGAGACAGGAGGACTGCAACAAGTTCAAGGCCAGCCTGGACTACATAGCAAGACCCTGTCTCAGAAACAAAACAAATCAGAAGGATTTCTGACTCTGCATCCCTAGTCTGAATAACTGAGTAAAGCATAACGGTCACTGAATGCATCCATCTTCTCTCCCTCACTTCCTAGATGACCAGGATGATAAGGCAGTGAGTCATAGAACCTGTTCTCAGACACAGCTGAAGAAAAATCTGTAGTCACAGCCCTGGGATGGGCCATACCAATTACATGGCTTGGAGGCCCGGCACCTGGGGAGGGGTGGTGTAGACCTTGGAGACTGGACATGGGGAGCTCCTGAGTGCTCTCGCCCCCTAGATTCAGTGCCTCGGCATGGCAGATACAGGGGCTAAGCTACTAGTCCTGGTAAATTGAATAAAATCAAATCTTAGACCCTTAGTCGTTCTGGCATTGTCAGGCAGCAAGGCACCGTATTCTGAATTTAAAAGTCACTGCTCTGGGGCAAAGAGTCTTCTGTTAATGTTTATGCAATTCTACGAATTTCAGGTTTTGTGGAACAGCCTCTCAAAGAGCTACTTCCAACATTATTCCTTTTCTGACCATGGATGCTAAGGACCCCCCAATTTTTCCTTGGTCAGCCTTACCATTAGCTATCATTTATTGATTCAGTTACTTGATTTTTTTTGGGGGGGGACAAGAGATAAATTTAAAATTCACTTAATATCAAGTAGCCTAGGCCCGGGGATTTAGCTCAGTGGTTTTGCCGCCTGCTGCACAAGTGCAAGGACCCAAGTTTGATCCCCAGTACCAAAAAAAAAAAAAATCAGGTAGCCTACTGTGTGCTAAATAGTGGTGATACACCAAGTCAATAATACATCTACTCCACCCCACATAGGTTCATGATCTAGTGGGAAAGGCACACTTGAAACCAAGTCACATTACTAAGGGATAGACACTATAGCACATATAAAACAGAATTTCAGAGCACAGCCAGGTGTATACAGCACACCTGTATTCCCAGCATCTTCGAGGCTGAGGCAGGAGGACCACTGTGAGTTCGAGGCCAGGGAGACCCTGTCTCAACACACACACATTTCAGAGCACAGAGTCTGGAGTGAGTGACTGCCTTCAGGAAACCGAAAATGGCTTTTGAAGTGAATTTGGAAGAATATGGAAGAGAACACAGAGTATTTCAGGTTTAAGGAATGGTGGCGGCAAAGGCACAGTCATGAAAACTCCTTTGGTGTGTAAAGAACGGTGAGAAGTTCGAAGTGGCCGGAAAGCACTGTGAGGAAGTAACATGAAAATGGAAGATGGTCGGGCCCAGAAGAAGCTGCTTTCCTTAGGCCTCTCAAAGACCAGTTGGTCTTTTTCCACATACATAATAGACATCCATTGCTACGTAGCAGTACTAGGGCATAAACTTGGGGCCTCACAACTTCCCCAACCCTTAAAAAACTTTTTGAGACAGGGTCTTGTTAAATTGCCCAGGCTGGCCTTGGACTTGGAATCCTCCTGCTTCAGCCTCTTGAGTAACTGAGTTTACAGTTGTGACCCACTACACTCAGCTGTTTCAGCCTTACCTAGATCTTCAGTACACAAAGTGGACATACTATGTTCATTTGCCATAATGTTATCATACTTGTAGGGCCAGGGATTTAGCTCAGTGGTTCCACCACCTGCCTCTCAAGCACAAGGTCCCGAGTTTGATCCCCAGTAACAACAACAAAAAAATGTTACCATACTTGTGTGCGTGTGTGTGGTACTAGGGAAATAACAATATTAGGGTGCAGCGGAAATGACTCATTTCTGGAGGGGATACACTTGTTCAGGATAGAAGCTAGTCACCACAGGAACCAACCCCATCATTAGAGGGTTCAAGTCTCAGTCTCTATCCCTGACCTCTCAGAGGGGAGAGGAAGAGGGGTTTGAGTTTGGTCATGTGGCCAAAGATTTAATCAGTTACGCCTGTCTGGTGGGCCCACATAGAGCACCCTGCACTGTCAGGTGGGGAGGGTTCAGGGTCAGTGAGCACAGTGATATGGTGGCAGGTCATGTGTTCAGAGACAGTATGGAAGCTCCATGCTCCTGCTCCCAACCCCACACCCAATACCCTGCCCCATGTGCCACTTCCATTAGGCTCTCCCTGAGTTGTATTCTTTATAATAAAAATGTAATAGGAGCTGAGTGTGTGGCACACACCTGTAATCCTAGCATTCAGGAGGCTGAGGCAGGAGGATTTCTGCAAATCTGAGCCCAGCCTGGGATACATAGTGAGCTCAAGGCCAGTCTAGAATGTGTAGCAAAAAATAATAAGAAGAACCCATTTGATTTGGGTGATTAACAATGAGGACTGGCTTTACCAACAAGAATGTAGCCGGGTGTGGTGGCACATGCCTGTGAACCCAGCACTTGGGAGGCTGAGGCAGGAGGATTTCTGTGAGTTTGAAGCCAGCCTGGGATACATAGTGAGTTCAATGCCAGCCTGAACTACATAGTGAGACCCTGTCTCAAAAAAAAGAAAAAAAAGTCAGGGCCAGGGATTTAGCTCAGTGGTTCCAGCACCTGCCTCAAGAGCGCAAGGACCCGAGTTCAGTCCCCAGTACCAAAAAAAAAAAAGTCAGATGTTTGTCACAAATGAATTAATTCTGCAGTGCTAAGATGTTATTGAAAACAGGTAAAGCATGTGATAAGGCAAGCAAAATGTTATTTTAGCAAAAACCTATTGGAATTAAATCTTCATTTTCTCAATCCTTCCTGAGATTTAATTCCTTTCTTTAAATAAGGTGCCTCTAAGTGAAAAAATAAGAGATAATTAATAATCATTTGAAAAGTTTTCAAAAAACTTTGTTGGTATAATTCCAGAAACTGAGAATTTGAATGACATTTATCACTGGATAACAAATCCTGTACAGATTGGATGGTTTCCAAGTCTTTCCCTTCAACAAAATTGAAGCAAGTCCTAATTAAGTTGTCAACTAATAAATCATTGAAAGCAATTTTCGATGATAGATCATTATGTGGTTCTTACCATATAACTCGGGTATTCAAAGAAGTAGCTGGCATTACTATAATGGAATTTCTTTCTCATCTAATTTATGCAAACTAGGTTTTTCAGAAGTTGTCTATTAATAAATGAAAAATACAAAGAGAATTAATGCTGAACCCAGTCCATTCTATCAACTAATACTATTTCCCCACAGACTATTTTGAAAAAATTTAGCCCTACTAATCATCATTAGGAGATGGATGTTTTTCCAATAAAATTTTACTTTTTATGTTTAAAAATTATATTTAAAATTATATTATTTTTACAAATTTTGGACTAAAATATTGCAGTGATAAATTGAATCCAGAAGAAATTTAACTTTTGTGGCCCCAGGAAAAAAGTTTGTAAAACTAAAGTATTCATTTTTATTTTTGCAGGACTAGGGATTGAATCCAGAGCTTTGCATGCTAGGCAAGCCAGCCATGCTGGGGGTTTTGGGGGAGGGAGGGTGAGACAGGGTTTTGCTGTGTAGTTCAGGCTGGCCATGAACTTACTATGTAGCCTGGGCTGGCCTTGAATTTGTAGTGATCCTCCTGCCTCAGCCTCTCAAATACCTGGGATTACAGATGTTCATCAACAGGCTCAGCTAAGTAAAGTTTATATACATATTTTTGTTGCCAATAAGAATGACCAATGAAGCAAAAAACATAGCAGGACATAATTATATGAAAAAAGAATAAAAATATGGGCACAACAACAAAAAAAATGGTAAAGCTTCCAGCAAAGACATGTTTGAGTCTTTAGTGGATGATTATCAAATTGCTCTGAAATCTGGATTGCACCTGACACATTTAAAAGCCTGATGTGTTTAAAATGTCAGTTTGACAACCAGAGATCATCTTTTTTTTTCTTTTTTTTTTGGTACCAGGCATCGAACTCAGGATCTTGCACTTAAGAGGCAGGTGTGCTGCCACTGAGCTACATCCCCAGCCCCAGAGATCATCTTTTGCAACTAGTTTAAAACGAAAAACTTTAGACATCAACTTAAAAATATAAGAAAGGAGACACAGTTTTTGTTTGTTTTGTTTCTGAGACAGGGTCACACCATATAGTTCAGGCCGTCCTTGAACTCACTATGTAGCTCAGGTTGGCCTCAAACTCATGAGGATCCTCCTGCCTCAGCCTCCTGAGTGCTGGGATTACAGGCATGGGCATCTGGGTCTTCTCATTATCCACATCCAAAAACTAAACTAAACCAGTCAATGAACTAATTTAGTATCACACACCCTAGATCCAGCCAGCTCCGAAAAGCCCCACCAAGAGCCAGTGAGGTTGTGGGGGACAGCTAGACACCGCATAACAAGCGGCTTGAAACATGGCTGCGGCCTTCCTTCAGAGAAAGCAAGCAAGAGTGAAAGAAAAGTCCAAGACAAGCTGGGAGTGGTGGCACACACTTGTAACCCCAGGTACTCAAGAGGCTGAGGCAGGAGGACCACAACCTCAAGGCCCACCTGGGCAACTTAGTAAATCCCTACTTCAAAATAAAAAGTGCTTGGGATGTAACTTATTGGTAGAGCATTGGCCTAGCATATGTGAGGCTCTAAGTTCTTCGGTATCACAAAAACAAAACTGAAAACAGAACTATTGTGTGATCCAGGAACCCCACTCCTGGGTGTGTATGCAAAAGAACTAAAATCGATGTGTCAGCATGACATGTGCCTCCTCTGTCCACTGCAGCAGTATTCATGAGCGTCAAAAAGAGGAAACGGCTCAAATGTTTATCAGCTGATTAATGGATAAAGAAAATGTCACATATAGAGAAGACAGAATGTTTTCCAGCCTTGGCTGGGTGTGGTGGTGGACACCTGTGATCCCAGCACTTCCGAGGCTGAGCCAGGAGGAGCGTCGTGAGTGTGAGGCCAACCTGAACCTACTGAGGCCATACTGAGACCTTGTCTCAAAAAAAAAAAAAAATTCTTTTTTAGCCTTAAAAAAAAAAGAAATCATGTTAGCAGTGACTACGTGGATGAGCCTGGAGGATACTATGCTAAATGAATAATGGAAAAAAAAATACTGCATGATCTCATTTACATGTAGAATCTAAACAATTTGAAATACATGTGCCAGAATTTTCTTGGTAGGGTTGACAAAAGCAATTCCATTTGATTCTGACAACTTTCACATTTCTTTCTTGAGTTTGGATCTTATTCTTTAAACCCTAAGTTTCTTGGGGACCCTGGCTTAAGACACTGGCCTACCCACTAAGAGCAAGAAATACCCACCACATGTGTTCCAGAAAAGACCTCCCAGGGCCTTCTCCTTGAATGTGCTGTTTGGCTCCTCCTGCTCATTTGTTTGCAATGGTGACTTTCATATAAACAAGAGGCAGGACAATGCGTGATGAGCATTTCTGGAAAACATGAGGCCTTATGAACTGATGGTAGGGCTTCGGGCAGTGATGGCGAACCTTTTAGAGCTTTCAATGATAACAAACAGCCAGCTGCAACATGTGTGCCAAAGGTTCGCCACCACTGGCTTAAAGTGTAGCTAAATGATACAGTGCTTGCCTAGCCTGTGCGAGGCTCTGCCCCACAGAAAAAACCAACAGCCAGGTGTGGTGGTGCTTGCCTGTAATCCCGGCACTTGGGTGGCTGAGGCAGGAAGATCGCAGAGTTCGAGGCCAGCCTACATGGCAAGATCCTGTCCAAAGAAAACTTTGGGTGACCTTGTAAAATGTGTGTTCAGCAGAGAACATAAATAGAGAAAGGAGGCTTTGCAATTGATAGGAGAGGCACTCTGCTATAGGAGAAGAGTCCTGGACTAGGACATAGGTTCAAGTCCTAGCTCAGACTCTCATCAGCCCTGTGCCCCTTAAAAAATCAAATTGATCTTTCTACCTCCATGTTCATCAGCTTTCTTTCACTGTGACAAAATATTTAAGAATAAGTTAAAGGGGGAAAGATCTGATTTAGCAGATGTTCTCACATTTCGGTCCATGGTCCACTGGCTCTTTTTCTTTGGGCCTGTGGGGAGGCAGAACATCGTGGCAGGTGTGGGGAAGAAAGCCGCCTACCCCACGGCAGGCAGGAAGCAGAGTCTTTCGAGGGGGACGCTTCTTGCTCCTGCTTTTCTTTCTTTTTCTTTTTCTTTACCGGGGATCGTACTTGGGTCCTTGCGCTTGCAAGGCAGGCGCAGGAACCACTGACCTAAATCCCCAGCTCCTCCATGAAATATTTTTTATTGTCATGACTGGGTGAGGCGGGAGGTGCTACCCGTATCTAGTGTGTGGAGGCCAGAGAGATCCTACAGCGCCCGGGGCAATCTTCCACAACAAAGCACTGCCTAGCCCCAGAGGTCAGTAGCGCCAAGGTCAGGCCACCTGGGTGTGGCCTGGTGGTAGAACCCCTTCCCCCACCACCGCCCCTGCGCTGGGGATCAGCCCAGGGGACCCCTGCATGCTGGGCGAATGCTCTGCCACTGAGCCAATTCTCAGCCCAACACAGGTTTCAATCGTTCCAAACTGCCTCTTTCCGCGGCATCCTCCTGGGACTGCACCGCTGCCCGGGTCTGCACGGGCGGGCGGGGAGCCTAGGACCCCAAGGCTGTGTTTTAGACGCCCACCCCAATTGTTCTGGTGCTCTCCGCACCCCCACCCCCAGATGCCTGTCCTCAGGACGCCGAAGCTACAGCATAAATGGGCTGAAAGCGTGGCGCGTCTGGGGGGAAAACCGACCCAGGCTGGTCCTAGGTCGAGGCTGGGCCTACTTCGATCAAGAGAGAAGTTTGCGCTCCTTGCAGTGAGAGCTGGACTCGCCATTTCCTGCCTTCCCGAGAGAAGGACTGGGAAAAGAAGACCCGATTCACGCGTCCTTGGCCTTGCGTTTCACAAAGGAAGAGAAGGACCCTTGCAGGTTGGCTCCCCTCGGCCCCACCCCTGGGCGGCCGGGCCCAGCCTCCGGCGGGCCTTGGCAGAGGCGGTGCGGGGCTCTGGGTGCCGCCGCCCCACCTACGGGAGCCGGCACCTTGGCGCCACGCGAGCAGGGTGAGGCGGTGGCTCCCGTGGGCTCCGGGGCCGGCTCCATTTGCTCCGCCCAGTCCAGCTCTGGCCGGCGGGGTCTGGCAAGAGGCGAGCGGCCTGCAGGGGGCGCTGCGTGCGGGCGGCCGGGCGCCCCCCGACCCGACTGCGTCCTGGGAACCTGCTCGCTGTGCGCTTCCACAGCCGGGCGGACCCGAAAACCTCTCCCTGAAGGAGGCGGGCCGGCTGCGCCCGGGGGAGGGTGAAGTCCTCCGGAAGGTGGCGGCCAGCGGCCTGAACGGGGCAGACCTGCCCCAGGTGAGGGGCAGGTGCGGCGCAGGTGCGCGCGGACTCGCGGGAGTGACAGGGCCCGGCAGCCCTCTTCGGCTGCACAAAATGAGGAGCTGGGCCGCTGCGGTGGCTCGGGACAGCCTTGCCTAGCGTGCCGAGAACTTGGCTCGTCCCCAGCACCGCAGCACAAACACCCACAAAGCGCTGGGCTTGCACGGCAGCTCCGCCCTGCGTGTACCCACAGTCGGCGCGGCTCCAGGCCCGCAGACCGGAGCCGCCGCGCACGGGCTCGCCGCTGTGCTCTACCCAGACAGCCCAGTTCACCTGACGGAGAAGCTGAGGTCTCGGCAGCAGCTCTGTGCCCACACACGAGGAATCCGCGCTGGGATTCAAGTTGAGGTCTTCGTGTCGCCAGAGTTTACCCATTCCCGCTGTGAGGGTCCCAGAACTGGCGGGGGGATTTTCTTCTGTCTGCTAGACCCCCGACCGGCGGAAATGTGCACCAAGCCGCGCCTAGCGGCGCAGACCTGTAATGACAGCTGGAGGCTGAGAGAGGATCAGAAGTTCAAGTCCAGCTGGGGCAACTTAGACTGGAGAAATAGTTTAGTTCTCCATGTGTTCAAGCCCCAGTACTGAGACCACGCGGGTGGGGGTCCAAAAAAGATAAAGAAACGGAAGCTAGGTGTGGTGGCCCACCCTCGTAATCCTAGCACTGGGAAGGCTGAGATAGGAGGATTGCCTTGAGTTCAAGGCCAGCCTGAACTACACAGTGTGTTCAAGGCAAGCCTAAACTACATAGTGAGACCCTGTCTCAAAAAACCAAAAGGAAGGAAGAAAGAAAAGAAAAGATAAAGAAATAGAGCCAGATTTGGTGGCACACGCCTGTAATCCCAGCTCTTTGGGAGGCTGAGGCAGGAGGACTTTAACTTCAAACCTAGCCCGGGTAATTTAGTGAGACCCAGTCTCAAGATTTAAAAATAAAAAGGGGCCTAGAGTTTAGCTCAGTGTGAAGGCCCTGGGTTCAGTCCATAGTACCACAAAAAAAGAAATGGACATCAGAATCATGTGGGAGGAATTTTTCAAAATAAACATTTAAGGGCTCAACCAAGTGTATTTTGAGCTGGGCATGGAGGCACATGCCTATAAACCCAGCACTCAGGAGGCTGAGGCAGGAGGATTGCTGTGAGTTTTGAAGCAAACCTGAGCTACATAGTGAGTTCAAGGCCAGCCTGAAACTACATAGTGCAATCCTGTCTCAAAAAACAAAAACAAACAAAAATACCTAAGGACCCCATCAATTGTGACATAACATTGATTATGTGATTTACAGTGTTTTGTCTGCATAAAACAAATTTTCCCGCGTTTTCCTTTCCTTACAGAACCAGGCTTCATCCTGAATTTTCTGAGACAGAATATTGGAAGAGAAGCCAGAAGAGATGACACAGATTTCTGACCATGCTCATCCCCTTGTATATCCCTCTGTCTGCAGAGACGGGCAATATGTGCCACCCCTGGGAACCAGCAGCATTTTGGGACTTGAGGCATCAGGACATGTGGCAGAGCTGGGACCTGGCTGCCAGGGGCCGTGGAAAGTTGGAGACTCAGCCATGGCTCTGCTGCATGGTGGAGGCCGGGCTCAGTAGGTCTCCATCCCCGAAGGGCTTCTCATGCTCATACCTGAGGGACTGATGCTGCTCCAGGCTTCAGCCATCCCAGAGGCCTGGCTCACTGCCTTCTAGCTGTTACATCTCTTGGGTAAGGAGGACTGTGCTCACCTTGTGCAGCTTGGTGTGGCTTCCCTGTGAACAGCCTCCTCAAACCCGAAGTTCTCCGGGCACCTGGGCCCCAGAGCCCTGCCCTGCTGTACCACCAGTAACATCAAGTTGTCAAACCGTGTCGGGTGGCTTGATGTGGAGGCTAAGGGTCGTCAGGAGATAGAAGTCCTGGGCACATCTTAACACTGTGGCCCAGCAGTGGGGCCAGCTGCTCAGAGTCATGCTGAGCTCTCTGGGGCCTGGTGCAGCACAAGGGGTAGGATAGGGATGTAGCTCTGTGGTGACCTGGCATGCTCACAGGTCTGCTGTATGATTCCCTAGCACTTCGAAAAGCAAAACAAAAACAAAAACCTGAAGGGGCAAGTCAGTTGTCTCCTTTATTCCTCCCAGTCATCACACAGAGGCCAGCCAAGAGCTTAGCTCAGGAAGCCTCTGCAGACTTGTCCCTGACTTCAGAGAGCTCCATGTAACTGGGAAGATGACCCATGCACAAGGATGAAACCACCAACAAGTTCAGAAGGGTGGTCCTGTCTCTTAACTGCAGTTGAAGCTGGAGATGGAAACACTGGAGTGGGCAAGGGTGGTCAGAGAAGGCTTTTTTTTTTTTTGAGATGGTTTCTTGGAAGAGAAGGATTTGAAGGGCAGGTAGAGTTGTGATGGACAGAAGGCGCATCGGAGGCCCAAGAAGGAATATCAAGGTGAGGCCAGCTGGTCTACTTAGAAGTGAAGGATGACTACTGTCATTTGTGAAAGAGAAGCCTCGGCCAGACTGTGGTGGCCTTGAATGCCAGGCTGTCAGGCTTCAGTGCAAAGCCAGTGGAAAAGCACTTTCCATTGTGAGGAAGAAGTATCATACATGAAGCATCATTTGGGGTGAAGGAGCCCGGTGCCTACGTGTGGTGCCCGGGTCAGTGAGGCCAGTTTCAAACAGGCTGAAGAGGGCTGGCTTCACATAGTGTACTAGGAATGGGGGTTGTTCCTACTTACTCATGTATGTAAGTCAGAAATGTGCATTATGGTATCATGTATAACAGCAAAAGATGTGGCTGCTAATAACCCTGTTTCTAGAGGTCATGTCGCACTCTGACCACAGCCATATAAGACAAAACAGAATTATGAATGTGCTCCCTGCAGAGAACAAGGGACCTGGGATTTGGCCCGAGGGTCAGGTGGTTGTGGTAGAATTATTCTGTGTGGGAACACGCTGCAGTTGGACAGTGGAGAGAACGGTGCCTGTTCTTTCTGTCACAGGAGATGTTAAGGCTGGAGAGCCTGTGCTCATCCATGCAGGGTCAAGTGGGGTGGGCACACCTGCTGTCCAGCCGGCCCAGAGGGCTGGTGCGATTCCTCTCATCACAGCTGGCTCCCAGCACAAACTTCAGATGGCAGAAAATCTTGGAGCAGCTGCTGGATTCAATTACAAAGAAGAAGATTTTTTTTGAAGCAACGCTAAAATTCATCAAAGGTAAACAACTGCTTCTGAGTCTCAGCAGGAATTTAAAAGAGAATTAAAATCCTTACCAGCCCCAGGGTCACCAGTGCTCCAGGCCAGTCCTGGCTCTACTGAAAACACTGCAGCTGCCCTTGGCCAAATCCTAGTGTTCTAAAGTAGGCCCACTGCATTCTTGGCGCTGAGTCACCTAGGCTTTAAAAACTGGATAACCACACGGCGTTGGCCTGGGATTATCTAGGGCCTCTGCCTCCCAACCAGCTCCTCTGTAAGACCCGGAGATGGTCTTAGGCAGGTGGGGGCAGGACTCCCTAAATGAATGAGTAGATGTGCATCCCTCTGCATCAAAAGTCAAATCTGGATCCCTTTCCATTTGTCAGAGGAGTAGAAAAGGTGAAAGCAAAGTTAGCAAACCTATTATTTTATTTTTTGTTTTGTTTTTTTGAGACAGGGTCTTGCTGTGTAGACCAGGCCTTGAACTCACTATATAGCCCAGGCTGCCCTCAAAGTTATGGCACTCCTCCTGCTTCAGCCTCCCAAGTGCAACAAGCCGATGATTCTATAACCTAGTGTGGATACTTCCTAACTTAGAAGTGAACGACCAGCCTGCCCTGTAGCCTAGGTGGACCTCCTCTGTTCTCCTCTCGCTTGTGCCCGGGTGCCAGTAGGACTGTACTTATTTTGGCGGTGAAAATCGGAACTAGCTCACGGTGTTGCCCTGTTACTCTCTTGCTGTGGCTGGAGAGCATAGAAAATGAACTACATTATACATCCTATGATAAGTGTTTTGTTGCCTAAACTCCATTTACAATAATGTTTTGTATTTTTTTTTGGTACCGGGGATGGAACTCGGGTCCTTGTGCTTGTGCAGCAGGCAGCAAAACCACTGAGCTAAATCCCCAGCCCCAAACTACTTTTTAAACGAGGAAGGCTCATCGCTAGTCCGCTGAGATCCAGGGACCAAAAGGTGAGTCGTGAGTGAAAAGAAAATTGGATTTAATTATTCCTCAGAGAAGTGTGTTTCATTTACATGATGCCCAGAAAGAAAGCTAGGTTACAGGTTAGGGAGCTTACGAAGAAAACTGCCACCTTGTGGATAAATAGGTGATCCAATTTCAGAGAACTGAGATTGGTCAACAGAAGCCTTGGCATTTTGGAAAGAGTCTCTCTCTCTCTCTCTCTCCTCTCTCTCTCTCTCTCTCTCTCTCCCTCTCTCTCCCCTCTCTCTCCCCTCTCTCTCCAGAATGAACAAAGCATTAGCCATATTAGGAAGTCTTCCAATAGTTCCAGGATTCTTTGCAAGGTTCTACTGTAAGACCGCTGTCCTTACCAAATGCTCCAAGGAGCTGAAGTGGAGCACACCCAGGGATCCCAGCGGTGCCTCCAGAATGTAAGACCAAGGGCCTTACCAAATGCTCCAAGGAGCTGAAGTGGAGCACACCCAGGGATCCCAGCGGTGCCTCCAGAATGTAAGACCAAGGGCCTTACCAAATGCTCCAAGGAGCTGACTGCAGCGAAGAACACCCGAGAAGGAACACACGGGACAAGTTGGAAAGCGAAACAGACCTTAGTCTGGCCAGACGGCACTCCCAAAGCAAAGTAGCTTAGAGAGGCGTCAGTCCAGAGTCCGAGGCTCTTTTTATAGGGGCTTGCAGGGAAGTTAACAGGCGAAATTTACAGAAGAAGGAACAAAGGTTTAGTGGTCTTACATTTGTATGTTAATTAGCCTGACATCTACTGATAGTCAGCAGATGCTCTGTAGATTGTTCTATAGATAGTGGTGTCCCGAACAAAGAGTTGGATAATTATGGCTGATAGGGATCTTATCTAGTGTCCTGGAACTAAGAAGCATCTTTATCTGTTTACTCACATTCAATCACATTTGGGGCTAGGGGAGTTTTTATGATTACAGAGTTATGCAGTCCTACACTACCTTCAACAGATTATATGTTCCTAGAATCTTCCGTGTGGCATTCTAGCCAGAGCCAGCCTTGGGAATGCCTCCCACCCTGGGGCTTCTACCTCCCGGGAGAGAGCGTGAGAGAGCAAAATTTAAGCACTCCGTTTGCTCTGTCTGTCTCCTCCGTGGCACTTTTATTGGAAAATGGTCCTGAGGCTGTCAGTGACACTAGTATTTTACTCCAGCCTTCAGTCTTTCCTGCTACAGAGGAGAGGTTACACGTGTGGGGACACGCACCTGCATGCTGGGAAATGAGACAGTGTGCAATGTAACAGCGCACTGAGGCTCGCAGCATGGGGAGTGACAGATTTAGGCCTCTTAGAGATCAGGCTGGTTTGTTTTTCCTTATCTTAGTACAAGCAAATGCTGGTGAAAGCTTTCACGGGGCAAATTCTGCCACACTTCTCCAAGGAGGGCCCCCAACGCCTACTCCCGGTCTGGACAGCGTCTAGCTGGTGACTGAGGTCCGGGCGCCCCATCAGCACACAGAGGCCAGCAGGAACGTGGGCAAAGCTGTCCCGGTGAAGGAGGAGGCGGTGCCACCCCAGGCCCTCCCAAAGCTGAGGGAGAGGACTCCACTCCACTCCCGGGTCCGCCTCGCCCACTGATTACTGTAAAGGCCCTAAGTAAATAAACAGCGGCCTTACAGGGCTGGGCGCACTGTGGGTGGCCCCAGCGCGGGGGTGGGGGGTGGGGCGGCGCCGTGGCCCGGGCGGCGGGATTCGGGACGATCGGCTGAGGCTCCACATGCCCAAGGGTTCGGGGACGGTAGCGGTGTCAGCGCGACGCCTGCACCGGGACCCTGGAGGCCGGCCTTGCGCACGGGCCCTGTTACAGGGCCAGGCTCACCCTCGCGTCCCGGCACGTGGCCGCAGGCCCCGCCGCTCCCCTGGGCCCAGCCCAACACCGCCCAACACCGCCCTTCGCGCCTCAGCCCCCGCCCCCGCTTCGGGCCGCCTCCGCAGGCCACGCCCCATTAGGAATCCCCGCCCCTTCCTGTCCAGTAGCCGGAAGTGTCTTGGTGCTCCCCTTTCCACGTTCCGACCTGACATCGATCTCCGGCTAATAGTTTGGCCCTGGGAATCTCTTCGAGGCGGGATCCGTGTCAGCACGACCGCCGTGAGACGGCGGAGTTCCGGCGGTGCTGTAGCCGCTTCCGACAGAGCCTAGGTGTGGTCCACATCTGACGCAGTTTTGCCGTTGAAGGCAAGCGCGCTCCGGCGGTGTCCGGGGAGTTCCAGTGTTTGCTGCGGTAAACTCATCAGCCCAGCAAGATGGCGATGCAAGCGGCCAAGAGGGCGAACGTGAGTACCGGGCCTTTGCCGAGGAGGGCGAGGATTTCGGGGCCTGACTCGGGGGGTGGAGCCGAGCGCTGTTGTTCTCCGTCCCCGGGGCGCGGAAGCCCTGAATGTCTGTCCCTTCAGAGGGGCTTCTGCCTGTGCATCCTCAAGGGGACCCCGTTCGAGTCCCCCTTTCCGCCTCCTGGTGTCGGGGACAGCGTTGGCTCTCAGCCGGCCCGGTTTAACCTGTCCGTGAGACCTGGCGTTAGACTCTTCTCGACCTAAAAGTCAATAGCACGGACGAGAAAATGGTAACGCGGTGAGTAACTGGATCCCGGCAACTGCAGCCTGAGGTTCTCGTCACACCGTGGAGTTTGGGATCTTTCGTTCATGTATCAATCCAACATTTTTGGAACAACTGCTTTGTACATTCGCGATGCCAAGTGATCCAGCAGTTTATTGACCTGTTAGATCCAGACCTTAGTTTTAGGGATGGGAACATGACAGTGAATAAGACAAGCCCCGCTTACGGCCTCGTTTTGGAGAGTAGAGTGTCACGGAAACCTTCTAAAAATAAAATTTCAAGAAAGAGTAGGCAACTGTAAGACTCTTAGAAGTATATTAAGATGAAGGCAGATAAGTGTGCGTTGAGATGATTTTTGGTGACCTTGGTGAGAGGAGTAATTTCAGTGGATGAAAATTTGGTTGCAGTAGGATGAAAAAAATGGAGGTTGAATAAATGAAGACAGCGAAGAGTTGCGTGAATTTTCATATAAATGAAGAGTAGAGAAATTAGGTGAGAGATGGCTTAAAAAAAAAAAAAAGATCTAAGCCAGGCCTAGTGGTGTACCCCCGTAGTCTCAGGACTTGGGAGGCCGAGGCAGGAGGGTCGTCATGAGTTCGAGGGTAGCCTGAACTATATAGTGAGACTGTCTCAAAAAAAAAAAGATTCTTAGCAAAAAAAGAAGCAAACAGATAAGAAAAGATTCAAATGTAGACATAAAGTTATTTGTATGGCAGTGAAAACGCTCCAGTAGAATGAGAGAAACATATTGAAGAAAGGTCAAATATAGAAGTAAAGGTTTTGAGTAGATGAAGTGTTGGCATCATAACTGAAAGTAAGTGAATAGAGACAAACACAGTTTGATAGGTTCAGTACAGTAATAGGAGTATAAAGTACTTATCACATGGTCCTGTTTGTCTTCTCCAAGCTCCAAGAGCCAGGGTGATCTTTTGGGCTGGGCAAGGAGGAGTGTACAACCAAATTCAGCTGTAGAGGGAGTGATGGTGGTAAGGTGTGAGGAGAGGAGAAAAATGAGACTGTTTTTGCAGAGTGAGAAAACATATTTACTAGAGAAGTATATTATGATTGTCTAGTGGTGTTGTCTATTTAAACTTAACCTTGAATCTTGAACTAAAACTTAATTTGTCAGCAGTACCAGTTTGAGGACAGGGATTAAGTTTCTTATTCTTCCGTTAATATAATACTTAGCTTAATGTCAAAAGTGATTGCCGGTTTAATAGTTACTGAGGACTCTTGGGCCTAATATGTAATTGTGTATGTTAACAGGAGATTTGGGTGGGAGATACATATTTGAGAGAAATCAGTTTAGATTAAAAAGTGTGAAGAGGGCCGGGGATTTAGCTCAGTGGTTCCGCCGCCTGCCTCACAAGCGCAAGAACCCGAGTTCCATCCCCAGTACCCCCCCCCCCCAAAGTGTGAAGAGTCAGGCAGGGTATATAACAGATCAAGAAAGAAGTAATGGCCTGTAATCCCAGTAGTTGGGAGTCTGAGCCTCAGCAGGAGGATTGCTGTGAGTTCGAGGCCAGCCTGGAATACATAGTTCAAGAACAGCCTGAACTACATAGTGAAACCCTGTCTTGTGAAGTAATGGTAAAGTCTTGTGGAACAACATAGTTTAGTATCAAAGAAGACTTAAGAAAAAATAGTCAGAGTTAGGAAGGAATACTTGATCCACGTGTGGTGGTACACACCTGTAATACCAGCACTTGGGAGGCTGAGGTGGGAAGATTGTGAGTTCAAGGCCAGACTGGGCCCCAGAGAGAGTTTAAGGCCAGCATGGACTACAGAGTGAGACCTTGTCTCAAGAAAAAGAAAAAAAGAGTCAGAAGCCTGGAGAAAGTTTGAGACTCAAACATTGAAATTAAAGGTTTTAGTAAGTAAAAGCACTTGTAGCAATGTGCTGGGGTGAAAGCTTAGTTGGGTGTTAGTGAAGTAAAGAAAATAATCCTGGGGATTTAGCTCAGTATTTTCGCCGCCTGCCTTGCAAGCACAAGGTCCCAAGTTCGATCCCCAGTACAAAAAAAGAAAAAAGAAAATGAGTCAGTGAATACAGACTTCTTTTTCTTTATGCTTGTCTGAAGGAAAAAAAGAAAAGCAAGATAGGATAACAGAGCTGTTATGTTCAGAGAAAGCAGAAAGCTTATCTTCTCTCTTTTTTCTCTTCACTATGTATTTTCTCTCCCCCTACTTTTTTTTTTCTTCCAGTACCAGGGATCCAGCTCAAGGCTGGTGTCCTTCTGAGCCCTTTTTAGTTTTAATTTTGAGACAGGGTCTCACCAAATTGATTACATGCATGAGCACTGTCCCTGGCTTTCACTGTATATTTCGAATATCTAACCTGGTGTCAACAGAAAAGGCACTTAGTAAATATTTGTTGAATGCACGAAGAGGGACTTAAATGCATGTATTGTTTTCTGAAGGATTGGCAGGACATGAGCACCTGGTCACGTGAGGAGTAAGAGAATCCAGTGGGAAGGAAAGCGTCCAGACACAAGAGAGAAGAGGCCATTGAAATAACAGGTTCCTGAAAGACCACAGAAGGGTCATCAGTGGAAGTTTTACTGTCTAGCAAATAAGAACATTTCCCTTTTTTCCTATATGCTTGAGGAATCAATAGTTTTTAAGTGAAATTGGAAATCCTGGTTAAACTGTAGTGACCAAAAGCCTGGATTTTGAAGTACTGTACTGTATCTCCTTTTAGTTCCTACTAATTGTCTCGCCAAAACCAGTGCTCTTTCACTTTTTCTGAAAGCAAAGCATTCTTTTGTTTTGTTTGTTTGTTTTTTGAGGCAGGGTCTCCCTTTGTAGTTCAGGCTGGCCCTGAACTCACTATGTAGCCCAGGCTGGCCTCAAACTTTAGGTGATCCTCCTGCCTCAGCCTCCCAAGTGCTGGGATTACGGATGGGCAGGCGGGCGGGCGGGCATGTGCCACCACACCTGGCTCTGAAAGCATAGCACTCTTAGGTGCACCATATTGTAGCTCTCACTCTTGGCCTTGTACTATGTATCATGAGAGGTTTTCTTTTTAATTGTAGCACTTTTGCCTCCATTATAATGACTACATATTTCTCATTTTAGATTCGACTTCCTCCTGAAGTTAATCGAATTTTATATATAAGAAACTTGCCATACAAAATCACAGCTGAAGAAATGTATGATATATTTGGGAAGTATGGACCTATTCGTCAGATCAGAGTGTAAGTCTTACTGAGACTTTTGAAATGTCATTTGAAGAAAATGATTGCAAAATCTGTAATCTCAGATAGCAAGGGTGCCCCCTGATGTGCAGTGCTGAGGTGTCTCTTACAGGTGAGACTTCCAAGGCCCAGAAGAAAAGTACTTTTCTAGTCTCACACAGTGTTTAATGATAAACTCTGACTAAATTGAACCTCCATCCTACACAGTGTCATAGCCTATCCCACTTAAGGGTCCCTCTAGTTTTTGTTTGTTTTGTGCAGTCCTGGGGATTGAACCCAGAGCCTCACAAGAAATAGGTTAAGAGTCCCCCTGAAAAGATTTAAAAAAATTTTTTTGAGACAGGGTCTCACAGTATAGCCCAGGCTGGCTTCAAACGAGATCTCCTGGCCTCCTAAGTGCTGGGATTACAGGTGTGCACCACCATGCTCAGCTCAAGTTTTTATTTTTAGTCATAATAGTTCTTAATAAATTTTCCTTTATGATCTGAGGGCTCCTTCCTAGTTTTTTGGACTGTGAGATCCCATAACCCTTCTCTTGAATGGTCACCATCCCTCAGGAGAGTGAAACAGACGCTGGAAGTTACCATCATTGGTACTCTGATAGGGACTAGAATGAAACTGTTAAGACCAGTTGTCTTTTCATCTGAGCACCAGATGAGAGCTCTGGATCCTCTCCATAGAAGAACATGCACATTTTGCCTATATCCAGGGGATAGTGCACTCAAGACTCAGAACCTCTGTTCTAGATAGAAGGAGTGGTATGCAAAAGGCCCCTGACTTGGGGATCAGGAGACCAGATTCTAGTAAGACCCTGTTCCTAGCTACATAACAAGTGCCTAGTATTTTTGGTTTTCTCTTTCTTCCTGTGTAAGATAACCTAGATGGTGTCCTTTTGTCTCTTAATGTGGAGGCAACATGATAAATGTACTAGATTGGATATTAGGTTCAGACATTGAGCACTTGCTAGTCATGTGAAACTGAGCAAAATAGTTAACCTATCTGAACTTCAATTATCTTTGATATACAGTCTTTCTAACCTAGTGTTGTAAAAGAATTTTATTTTGGATCAAATTATATAGTGTCTATGAAAGTTTATTTATTTATTTATTTATTTTTTGGTACCGCGGATTGAACTCAGGTCCTTCCGCTTGTGAGGCAGACGCTGGAACCAGTGAGCTAAACCCCTGGTCCTGAAAGTAATTTATTTTTGAGTATTTTCTTCCCAACATGCATTGGGCACCTGTCTCCATGATCCCATAGCACCTTCTAGTCAGCTCTCTTACTAGTTACCACATGGCTTTGCTTTTGGCCTTGTGACTCTTTCCTGGCAGCCTGGGAGCTCCTCCAGGGCTGGTACTGTGCATTCTTTCTGGTTTATCTTGACAGCACTTGTCGTGCCTGATATGTGGGAAGCACTCAAGGTATGAGTAAATGGATAATATAGAAAATGGCGTTGTGATTAATTTATGAAGGCACTGTAAAAGCCTGGCTAATAGGCCAGGCATGGTAGTGCATGCCTGTAATCCCAGCACTTGGGAGGCCGAGGCAGGAGGATCACTGTGAGTTCAAAGCCAGCCTGGGCTACATAGTGAGACCCTGTCTCAAAACAAGGAAAAGAAAATATTGTTAATGTAGTGACACTATATGACATGTGCCAAATATGTGCTTTTAAAAATTAAATTATAGCCTGCCTCACAAGCGCAAGGACCCGAGTTCGATCCCCGGTACCAAAAAAAACCCAAAACATTAAATTATAGCTGGGTCTGGTGATGCACACCTGCTAATCTCAGCCACACAGGAGGCTGAGGCAAGAAGATGACAGGTTTGAGGCCAGCCTGGGCAATTTAGCAGACTCTGTCTCAAAATAAAAAGACCTGAGGGTATAGCTCAGTGGTGGAGTACTTGACTGGATTCCATGTGTAGTACCATAGAAATGTTGAGATTTCTGAGCTATGAGGTCGATGTTCAGGGCTGGGACACTTAAGATGGGGCATGTTTTAAGTGAGGTAGAGGCTGGGCGTTTGGCTCAGTAATAGAGTGCTTGCCTAGTGCATCCAAGGTTCGTACTCCAGCACTGCGAAACCAAAATGGGGTTAGGACCTCTCTTTATTGAAGAGGAAGAAAAGAGTCTCCTGGAGAAGAATAAAAGAATTGATAGGAGAAAGGAGATCTCTCCCCTTCAAATGGATGTTAGCGGTTGCTATATGCATGGGATTATGGGAGTAAAGTAAAGAATAAGATCAGCTTTGCCCTTAAAAAACTTAAAATCGGTCCAGAGATTTAGCTCAGTGGTTCTGCCGCCTGCCTCGCAAGTGTAAGGACCCAAGTTTGATCCCCAGTACCAAAAAAAAAAAAAATTAAAATCTACTTAAGTTTTTTACTTTTGACAGTATTCAACTTCCATAACTAATACATTCTTTTACTTTTTTTTTTTTTTTTTTAAAGACAGAGTCTCACTATGTAGTTCAGGCTGTCCTTGTACTCACGACATAGCCCAGGCTGGCCTCAAATTTGTGGCAGTCCTCCTGCTTCAGTCTCCTGAGTGCTGGGATTACAGGCATGTGCCACCATGCTCACCAAACCTATGAGAGTTTTTTTTTTTTACATTCTTGAGAATGATTAAACTGTTAATAGTTAATACTATTGGGCCAGAGATTTAGCTCAGTGGTTCTGGCGCCTGCCTCGCAAGCGCAAGGTCCCAAGTTCGATCCCCGGTACCAAAAAAAAAAAAACCCCCAAAAACAATAGTTAATACTATTGCCAGGCAGTACAGAGTATGATAAAGCACCTCAACAGGCCCACACAGCCTAAAAGGTTAGCTCACTCGCTGGCACTGGGACTCTCCAGTTACCCTATTCCATCCCCTCCCTCCTTTTTTAAATAATAATAATAATAATAATTATTATTATTATTATTATTTGGTACTGGGGATAGAACTTGGGACCTTGGGCTTGCAAGGCAGGCAGTGGCACCACTGAGCTAAATCCTCGGCCCCTCTCCCTCCTTTTTTTAACTTGTAAACTTTTATTAGTGTGTGTGTAGTATGTAATGATTATCGTCATGGGAGTGGGTACGTTACATAGCACATCTTAATTCTTTTTACACCCCCTTCTCCTCCCCTCCATCCCCTTTTACAGGAAGCACAAGCTCTGAGCAGGGCCCAGACTGGAGTACTGTTTTAATTCTAGGCAGATGCTCCCCTTATCATGGGTCTGCTTCCTTTCCTTGACCACGTGCAGGGACTGTGACAGATGCAGCGTCAGCCCACAGCCTTGACCCCATCCACACTTGTACCGTGTGGCTGAAACACAGACAGAGGCAAGGCTACCTGTGTTACACCAGAACATGGGCAGAGAGGGCCCTCTGCCTGCTGTCCCCAACAAGTCCCTGGCTCTGTACTGCCTGCAATTCAGTGCTCCTGTTGTACCTCACACCTCCCTTCCTCTCCCAGAGGAGGCTTGTGAAGTGGACGTGCAAGGGACACCTACACCAAGAAGCAGCCCTGTATCTGTGAGGAAGGTCTGGCTTCCACTTCCAGCTCCCTGCCAGTGTTCTGCCCTGGCTCACAGATAGGTGCACCTGTACTCCCATTTTAGCAGAAGCTAGACAGGGCTATGCAATACACTAGAGCTTGGATTATAAAAATGAATGCAGGCCCAGGGATTTAGCTCAGTGGTTCTGCCGCCTGCCTCGCAACCGCAAGGTCCTGAGTTCGATCTCCGGTACCAAAAAAAAAATGAATGTATAATGCTTCTCTCGAGGGCCAGTACTTTATTTTCTTTGTGTGTTTTTATTTGTTTTATTCTTTGAGACAGGATCTCGTTGTGTAGTCTAGGCTAGCCATGGACTTACCGTGTCACACAGGCTGGCCTCAGACTTGAAATCCTCTTGGTTCAGCCTCCCAAATTGTGGGAATACGGGTGTGTGCCACCATGCCCAGCTTCAGTATACTTAGTAGGAGAAACAGGAAGGCTAAAGCATGCACATGAAGATACAGGTACAGGGGCCCCATAGGTAGGGAAAAGATAGGATAAAGGCCTCAGTCTTTGTTGGAAGTTAATGGAGAGACTCATTAAGGGCAGGGACTTCTGCCTTTGCAAATTAGGCTCCAGCAATTAGAAAGCCAAAGCCAAAGAAACTAAGCTCAGGGAGGTCAGCAAGTAGGGTGATCAACATAAACCACCTTACTTAATACTTAAACCTAAGCTGTTTGTCCTTAAGTCCCCACCCATATCAAGGGGAGGACCAAAGATGGCCATGGAGCCAATGATTCCAGGAGCCTACACAGGGAGAAGAAACTCAATAAAAGGAGCTGCAGAGAAAGCCCATGAGTATTTCGCTTTCAAGTGTTCCCTGCTCAAGTAGCTCATCTCTCTCTCCCTCTTTTTCTCCACCTTCAAATAAATCATCTTCTCTTAGTTTAAATTCCAAATTCTTTGTTGACGCTGGATTTACCCTGGTCACTGGAGCTGCATTTTCCAGCAGAGCAGCGGCTCACGGCTAAAGTCTGAACAATACAAAGACTGTCCCAAAATTTCAAGCTAGTTCTTTGCTTGCTGCTAGTGCTTTGGTAGTTGTATTCTTTATATGTCGGATAGAACAATAATCTGTAGATATGTTATTTAATATGAAAACAGAATTACCTAAAGAAATTATAGGATTTTCCAGCATATCTATCCATAATGTTTATATCCTCTGAAGGTTTTCACACTGACCTGAAAATATTTAAATAAAATGTATTTGATAGAGTCAAAAGACTGTTCTCAGGCCAGGCATGGTAGTACATGCCTATAGTCCCAGCACTCCGGAGACTGAGACAGGAGGATCACTGCGAGGTTAAGCCCAGCCTGAAATACATAGTGAGACCCTGTCTCACCTCCCCCAAAGAAAAGACTGTTCTCTAATTCAGTTATCAGTGCTTGTGTATTTTAGTTATGTTCACTTTACGTCTGCAGGGGGAACACACCTGAAACTAGAGGAACAGCCTATGTGGTCTATGAAGACATCTTTGATGCCAAGAACGCGTGTGACCACCTGTCAGGATTCAACGTCTGCAACAGATATCTTGTGGTTTTGTACTATAATGCCAACAGGGTAAGTATCGCAGTTTTTCCTCACATGGTGAACGCATTTGAGAATCCGTGTAGAACTGTATGTGCGGGGAGAAACGTGTGCTGTCAGTTTCCTCTTTTGGCTAGTGGTACTGGTGAGATTCATGCAGCTGTAGGTTGGAATGTTAACTTTGGGGCTTGCCACACTTCCAGGCATTTCAGAAGATGGACACCAAGAAGAAGGAGGAACAGTTGAAACTTCTCAAGGAGAAGTACGGCATCAACACGGATCCACCAAAATAAGTGCCGCATTTTCATTTTGGACTAAAGCACCCCTATGACCACTGTCACTTTTTTCCCTAAAATTTTTAATCAATACTGAATATCCTGATTTCTAGAGGTTCAAAAGAAACTTCAATGCATATTAGAGTATATTATGTTAATAAACTTTTACCTTTTTGTAAAACATCTCAGTGCTTTCTTTTCCCCCATGTTTGATGTCAGGAAAAAACCATTTGAACCATATGAAGGATTGTAGTTGGGCTTAGACCTCAAGTGTCTTGAGAGCAAAAGTCTTTTTATATTCCTTAATGGCTGTAGTGTCCAGCCCAGTGCTCAGCCATGAGAGGAACTTGCAGTCCTGGTATTTACTGAATGTCAACCCATAATGATCTCTTCATAATCTAAAGTTAAGAGTTTACCATTTTTTGTTTGTTTTAGTCAGGGTCTTGCTATATAGCTTAGGCTGGCCTCAACTCCCTATCTTCTTCCCTGGTCTCTGGAATAGCTAGGATTACAGGCATGCACCACCACACCCAGTTTAAAGTTAAGTTTTAAATTTTTCCTCTGGCCAAGTGTAGTGTGTGCCTGTGTTCTGGCACTCAGGAGGCTGAGGCAGGATTGCCGTGAATTTGAGGCTGCCCTGGGCTACATAGTTCAAGGCCAGCTTGAACTACATAATGAGACCTTGTCTCAAAAAACAAATTATATACCATATAGAGCCACTCAAAGTGGTTCATATCTGCAGCCCACCTACTACTGATGATAGCCAGGAGGCGTTCTTGCCCTAGGCTAGTGGTGGCGTACCTATGGCAAGCCAGTGGGCTCTAAGTTCTCCATCACTGCCCTAGACCAACTGAAAGTAAAGTCTTTTAGCCACATTGTCCTGGGTCCTCTAACCTGCTCACAACCCACACCATTAAGGGCTGATTTTAAATCCTAATGGGGGGTCCGGTTTAGCTCAGTTTTGCTGCCACCTGCCTCACAAGTGCAAGCTCTTGAGTTTGACCCTTGGTACCAAAAACAACTAATGGGATTCCCAAGTAGTTGGGAATGTTGGTAGAAATAAGCAGTATATCTAGGCTGAACGGTGAAGCCTATAATCACACCTACTTGGGCGACTGAGGCAAGAGGATCGTTTGAGCCCGGAGTTAGAGGACAGCCTAGGCAACATAGTGAAACTCATCCCTTTTTGACAGTATATAAACAAGCTCAGAATTACACGTTCTTCTCAGAAGTCAGGCCCCAAAGATGTTAGAGCAGATCTAGATGAAACTAACCAGTACAGGTGAGAACAGGTTCACAATCATAATTCTTTTCCAGAGTGACTTCCCAGTGAGGGTATTATTCTACACCCTGACACACTTTCACTTGCTCGGACAAAATGTTACCATCTGGGTGAGGGGAGTTTATCTCTCTACTCCAAATGAGAGATTGCACAGTTGCACAAAGTGTTCAGATCCCATTTGAGACTGCTAGGCTGTGGGATTAGCTGCACAGAGCAGAATGCCAAGCCCGTGAGATGAGTAGCAGGTAGTGTCTGCCTTGCAGGCTTGCCTAGAGGATTGGTGGTTTTATTTAAAAGTGGACAGAGCACGGTCCCCAGCACCTCACACAGTGTTCCCATGACAGCTATTATGTGACTAAACTCTCCTAGTCACTTGGAAGGCTCCTTTCCACTTTTCCCAAAGGGCAACTGGCTTGTGTGTTCTGTAGAGCATTTCTTACTTAGGAGAAGGACAGGTGGTTATCTAGCACAGAGCCTTTATTTTACATATTATTTCCAAAGAGGACATTGTTTACGTGAGCAGCCAACAGAATTCGTAAGAGAAAGTGACAGCAAAGGTAACTGGCTCAAGTCCCTCTGTGTACACCATGTACACTGCGTGTCTGAGCACCTTGTGTCTGGCTTAAGTGACGGTAAGGCAGTATAGATTGTGCAAATCCGTTCTGTGATCAGGAATGGCTACTACATGCATCACACAAAATGTACAACCTGAAATGTTTCAATCTGCAAACGAAGTCTCCTCAAGCAAAGATGCGCGAGAACATGAACACATACAGAGCAACTTGGGCGGAGAAGCGAGCAACGCTGTGGGGCAGTGAGGTTGGCACACTGATCAAGAGCCCCAACAGGAGGAGCCGTCCCAGTGGAGAGCAGGCCGGAAGGGTGAGCAGCAGCCGTCTCCAGCCACCTCGAGTGCTTTCCTGCCTTCACTCTAAGTTGAGCAGCTCCACGTCAAAGATGAGCGTGGCATTGGGAGGGATGACACCGGGGTGGCCCGTGGCTCCATAGGCCACATCAGGGGTGCAGGTCAGCTTCGCCCTCTGCCCCAAGCTCATCTAGCAGGGATGGGGGCAGATGGGAGAGGAGAAAGAGGACCCGGCTTGATTTAAAAGAAAAAAGTAAGATAACTATGGCAAACATCATGGTAATTGACCCGAGATGACCTCTATGTGGCACACTGGAACTGCACAAAGAGCTGTAAGTTCTGCCTTGAAAAAAGCAGAGACTTCTCTGTGGGACAGTAATAGTCTCAAAATTCATTCATCCGACAGCATTGCTGGTTATTCAGTTAATGCATGGCTCAAACATTTGTTCATAATTCCTTACCTTCTCCTAAAGAAGCCTATGGAGAATGTACAGTCGGGGCTTTATGCACTTATGAAGGTGACAGGAGCAGAGGTTCTGGGAAAGGGAAGGGCCACAGCAAGGTGGTGAGGGCGAAGAGACCCACTGGCGTGGAGCATCTGACCACACAGACCACAGAGGAAGAGCCTGAACCAGGGCTCAGCACCGTAGGTCAAGAACCTACTTGGGGGCCAGGGATTTAGCTCAGTGGTTCCACCTCCTGCCTCACAAGCACAAGGACCCAAGTTCGATTCCCGGTACCAAAAAAAAAAAAAGAACCTATTTGGTATTAGTGGGACAATTGGTGAAATCTGAATAAATCAATTGTTGAATTTCAAATAATTAAAAAATTTGAATCGATTAATAATATTCTGTCAGTGTTCTGGTTTTGGTCACTGTGCTATAATTATGTAAGATGTTAACATCTGGGGAAGCTGGATAAAAATTATATAAAAATTTACTATTTTTTGCAATATTTTTTATATGCCTAAAATTATTATTTAAAAAAAAAATTTTTAAATGCCTTCTTGGCTTATCCCAGTCTGACTTTTCTGCTGCCTCAGGTTCAGGCAGCTGGTTGGCCTCCCACTAGTTCCAAGCCACCCGAAGGGGATGTGTTTGGCATGAGGGGGCCCAGTGACAAAGGTGGCATGCGGGCCAGGAAGGGGTAGGGACACAGCCGGGAGCAAACACTAGGTGGCGCTGCCGTGCTCTGGCCCATGGAGCGAAAGCAGTAGTGGCCCAAGAGAGGGGGAGGGATTCTCACCCTACCTGGGCTGCACCTTCTTCAAATCCTTTGATGACTTCCTGTTTGCCAATTCTGAACTTGAAAGGCTTGTTTCTATCTCTGGATGAATCAAACTTCTTTCCATTTTGGAGCATTCCTGTCAAAGCAAGAACAGGGCAGAAAAGAGCTAGCTGTCTGGGGTCGTGAGTTGACAACCAGTTCAGATTAAACATCTAAAGTGGAATTCCTCTTCTGCACAAACCTGCTCCTCTCCTGAACCTCTCCATCCGAACTGTTGCCCAAGCAAGATGCCTGGACACATCCCTCGGACTCGCTCCCACATGGAGCCATCACCAAGCCCCACATCTCTTTGGAATCCCGTTTTCTCCATCCCTATTCCCCCACCACCCTGTGATCTCACCGAGCCACCATCACGTCTCACGTGTGGACAAGAACAACCTAACTGGCCTTTATGCTCTGCCCTTATTTCATTCCATTCTCCACTCTGCATCCAGACTTTTTTTCTTTAAACAGAAATCAAGTCATATTATTGCCCTGCTTAAAACACTTGAACAGCTCCCCAGGGCTGAATCCAAATGCCTACAACACATACAGGCACTTCCAGATCTAACTACTTTCTCCTGCCCAACAGCCCTCTCCCTGCTCTTTCCTTCTCTCCCACGTCCTCCCACATCACACCTAAATTCCTCTGTCCAGTTCAAGTTTATGCTGCTTCCTCAGCCTAAAGTTCTCTTCTCTCTCACATTCCAGCCTCACACTGAATCCCTGCCTAAAGGTTTCCCCAAAATGAAACACCCAAAACTTCCATCAACCACCACAGCAGTGAACTGTGGAAGGTGACCCGGCCAATCAGTGGTAGCTTCCAAACCCCACTCGAATGGCTGTTTCACTCTGGAATACCTAGGTGCTGTCTCTAGCAGTTGGTGGCATCCCTCACCCTCCAGCTGAGAGGCCTGTCCTACTGATGTCATCTCAGCCCAGCAGCCCAAGCCTGAGAACTGTTCCCATTTTCACTTATTGGTGCCTCTCACTCAGAGATCAGAGATTCTGTAAGTGACTCTTCTCCACAAGTTCTTCCGGGAGCTCTGGACCATGACAAAAGGCAATCTGGATCTACAGAAGACATGGCCTATTAAGTTCAGAGACAGGGTTCTGACTTCAGTCTGGCACGAACTCACTGTGTGATGTTGAGAAAACCACTTCCTCTGTCTGGGCCTCAGATTTTCCACGTTTAAAATAGGCTCTGCCAGGACCAGGGATTTAGCTCAGTGGTTTCAACGCCTGCTACGCAAGCGCAAGGACCTGAGTTCGATCCCCGGTACCAAAAAAATAAAATAAAATAAAATAGGCTCTGCCAGCTTAGTGTCTGAGCATCTATGATTTTACTTCTAAATTTCTACAACTTCAGTGTGTGCTAGAGAAACAGTCTGACTTACCTACCTTCTGTGTAGAATAAATTGGGCTCTTGCCCTGGGTTCTAAATGAGGCAAAGGAGAAAACCCTTTTCCTACTCAGAGATACACACAGATGGATGCTAAGGAGATCACATACAAACTCACGCATACACACAGGTTGCTGAGATATTCCAATATGCAGAGATACTTATGCATGCTCACATACACTTACGCACACACACTCAAGAGAAAAGCCCTGGTGGCCAAACAGATGCTAAGAAAATATTTGGATCTCCGTACATTCCCACAGACAAGTAATTGGACAAACGCACACATGGGTATGCATGTGTACAAACTCACACAATTTATAGCCAACTTTCTCATCCTCCAATCTCTTCAGGTACAACCGGGTCTACTGGAGACCACATGTACAGTTAGCTGTTACTCCAAGTTCAGCCCAAACCACCTAGTCCAGAAACAGGCCCACTTATATATGGTTATTTCACTTGACAAAGATGCTACAGCAACACATCAGACAAAGGATGAGATTTTGGATTAATGTTGCTGCATCAACTATACATATGCACAAGAGGAAAAAAAATCAAATCTTGACCTCTACCAAATCCACACACAAAGATCCAGTGCAGAGGACTCATAGATACAAATGTGAAAGATAAAATAATAAAGCTTCAGGCTGGGGCTGTGGAGCTCAGTGGTAAGAGTGCTTGTTCCATATGTGCAAGGCCCTGGACTCAATCCCCAGCACTGTGAATAATAATCATAAAGGTTCTACAGAGTAATTAACAGAAGAAAATCTTTATGACTTACAGATGGACAAAGATTTCTTGAACTGAACACAGCATTCCCCATAAACAAAAATACTTGACAAGTGCACGAGGCAAGCCACAGTGCGAGATGTTTGGGATGGGTATAATAACAACAAAGGATGTATACCCAAAATATATACGGAACTCCTATAAATCAGTAGGAAAAAGAAACACATTTCAAATGTAACCTCTTTTTTATTTTGGGGCTGAGGATTGAACTCAGGGCCTTGTGCATGCTAAGAACACACTCTACCACTGAGCAACATTCCCAGCCCTCTACTACCTGTTTTTTCAGTACTAGGTACTGAACTCAGGGCCTTTGCACTGAGATACATCTCCAGCCCTTTTATTTTTCACTTCTGAAAGAAGGTCTTGCTAACTCGCTAAGTTGCCCAGACTGGGTTTAAACTTGTGATCCTCCTGCCTCAGCCTCCCACAGTGCTGGGATTACAGGTGTGTGCTATCACACCTGGCTCTGATATCTGTTTGTTTTTTCCAGGACTGGGGATCAAACTCAGGATCTTGCACTTGCCAGACAGGCAGGGTGACTCTTGATTTTTTTTTTTACTGGACAAAATTTGAGTGATCTAAAAAGGATTTCCAGATGGGAGGTAAACACATGGAAGGTGCTTGCCTTCATTATTTATCAGGGAAATGCCCATCAAAACCCAATGAGATACTACCAGGCAGCTCCGGGGTAGGCCAAAACCAAAACCAAACAAAAACCTGACAATACCAACTGTTGGTGAGGATACAGGGTGACTGCAATGTTCAAACACTATGGACAGAAGTGGAAACTGGCACAGCCAGTTGAGCAAGCTCCTGCGCAGTACTGCTAACCTCGGCGAAGGTAAAACCCTGTACCTCAGCAGCTCCACTTCTGCTTTTATTCCCAACAACATATGTGTATACATATGTGCACTGAGACAGTTACAAGACTTCAAAGTAACATTATTTGGAGTAACTAAAAACTATAAATAATCCAAATGTTAAATATTAGAAAGGATAAATAGCTGGGCATGGTGGCAGATCCCTGTAATCTCAGCACTTGGGAGGCTGAAGCAAGAGGATTGCCACGAGTTCAAGGCCAGCCTGAACTACATGCTAAGACTCTGTCTCAAAAAACAAAGAAGGGGCCAGGGATGTAGCTCAGCGGTGCCGTGCCTGCCTGGCAAGCACAAAGTCCTGAGTTCGATCCTTGGTACTGCAAAAAAAAAAAAAAAAACATAAAAAATAAATAAGATAAATAAATTGTAGTCCATTCACACAATGAATTCTGTGGAGGAATAAAAAGAACATGCCACTCTGTAAATCTCACAGGCGTAATACTAAGTGAAGTAAGCCAAACAGAAGAGTACATACTAGCATATGCCTGTTATACTGGGACTAGGGAGGCTGAGGCAAGAGGATTGCAATTTTGAGGTCAATAAGGGCCAGCCTGGACTACATAATGAAACCTTATCTCAAAAAAGAAAAACCAGGGGTTGGGGAGTTAGCTTAGTAGCACTGTGCCTGCCTTCAACTGCAAGGTCCTGAGTTTGATCCCTGGTAACCCCCCCCCCCCAAAAAAGAAAAGAAAAACCAAAACCAAAGAATACATACTAGCGGGCTATGGCAGCAGAAATCTGTGATCCCAGCTACTTGGGAGGCTAAGGCAGGACTGAGATCTGACTGGGCGCATTCAGCATGGTATGGCCGTAGACCAGGCAGGATTGCAACTTCAAGGCCAGTCTGAGCAATTCAGCAAGTCCTTCTCTTAAAAAAGGGCTGGGAAGGACTCGAGTTTTAACCCTGATACCAAAAAAAAAACCAAAAAAAACGCTGGGGATGTAGCTCAGTGTGAACTGCTTGCCTACCATGCCCAAAAACTTCGGTTCAATCCCCAGTACTGGAAAAAAAAAGACGACATATTCTGTGATTTTGCTTACATGAAGTTCAAAAACACCAGTCTATGGGGAGAAAAATCAAGTATTCATTACTCTTCGGGGGGGATGACTGGGATGGCGAATGGGGAAATCTTCCAGGGGTGCTAGGAATATTTTATGTGTTTATTTGCATGGTGGGTAAATAAGTGTTATCATTCTGGAAAGATTCATGGAGGCTGGCTTGTAACTTAGTAGTAAAGTGGCTGCCTACATGTGTTTGAGTTTGATCCCTACTATCACATAATAATTATTATTTTATTATTATATAAATACTACTAGTAACAATGATATTATTATTATTAGGCTATACATCTTCAATTATATTCTTTGCTGTATCTATTCATTTTCAAAAGCCTTGGGCCGGGGATTTAGCTCAGTGGTTCTGGCGCTTATCTTGCAAGCGCAAGGTCCCGAGTTCGATTCCTGATACCAAAAAAAAAAAAAAAGCCTCACCAAAAGTCCCATACAGGGCCTAGGGTGTGTAGCTCCAGTGCTAGAACATTTGCTTACCAGGTGCAAGGGCCTGTGTTTCATTCCGAGGACTGCAAGAAATAGTGAAAGTCCCCTACAGAGTTGTTTTTTTTTTTTTTGGTACCGGGTATCGAACTCGGGACCTTGCGCTTTCAAGGCAGACGCCGGAACCACTGAGCTAAATCCCTGGCCCATAAATTAATGTTCATTTTTTTTGTGTGTGTGCTGGGGATTGAACTCGGAACCTTGCGCTTGCGAGGCAGGCACTGGAACCACTGAGCTAAATCCCCGGGCTGAAAGTCCCCTACAGACTCCTGCTGTGTTTGATAAGACCAGAGCACTCAGAGCTGATGTAACTTTAATGCACATGGCCTGCTCTATGGATACTGTGAAAAGACTTGCAAAGGGATGTTGTACTTTCAGTAATGTGATAAGTACTCGTCTGCTCACAACATGTACAGCATATAAATCAATTACCCCAGCCAGAGGCCTCAGTGGCCCTACGGTAATTAGGCCACATCAAGAGGAGATAAAACAGCCCCAGTCCACTGACATCAGCGACTGGCAACACAACTGCTGGGAAATATCCGCACTAGCCTGCTGCTTCACACTGGCCCCAAGAACTGCTAAAAAAATATGTCCCAGGAATTAAGCTGGCTTTGCTGCATGCTAAGTGGCTGTCACCCACCAAGTTTGCTACCTCAAGAAGCAGGTCACAAGGCAGAGCCCTCATCTCCCTTGGAACACATGCTTGCTCGTGCTCTTCCTGCCAGCTCATCTGCAATGTCCCTGGCCCAGCTGGCCTTCAGATCCAGGAGGGGGTGGCAGAGATGTGGGACCTCCTCTGGGCTCCTCCAGCGAGCCCCAGAGAGCGGCACTGTCGTCTCCCCAACATCACTGACCGGAGCATCGCAGGGTCCATCTGTCCTCTCCCCGTCCCCTCCCAGCGCCCCCATGAAGGCAGGAGTCCTCCCTTCTGTCTCTGTGTCCCCAGTGCCCAGCCAGGCATCTGGCACAGTTGCACCCAAGAACAGCAGGCTGAAATGAACGGTCTGTTTCTGAGAGAAGCAGGAAATCCTGAGGAGCCAACCCCCTCGAAGGACACAGGAGGATGAGAAGAGAGGTTATTGGGAGGTAGAGGGTCCACGGAGCTTCCAGAGATTTCCAAACATCGAGGGATGGGGACTGGAGATGCCTGACTCAACTGGAGGCGGCCACCAAGAATGGCCTCTGGGGACAGCAGGCACTCTGGACGGGAGTTGCAGTCTGATCTGGGGACAGATGCCTGTGGAGAGCTCAGGGACAGCCCGCCTCGGGACGGGGGGCGGCCTACCTGTGTAGTGCACCACGCACGTCTGGCCCTTCTTGGGGAATGTCCTTCCTACAGGGGCACAAGGGAAGATGAGGGAGGATTAGAGAAAGCATTCACCTGTGGCAGTGATCATGAGCTCGTGACCACATTCTTTGTACGTGTGAGAAGGATAAACCAAGGTGATCCTCCTGCCTCTGCATCCCAAGTACTGACATTACCACCACGCCCCCAGGGCACACATTCTTTTTTTTTTTTTTTTTTTGGTACCAGGCATCGAACTCAGGTCCTTGCACTTGTGAGGCAAGCTACGGAACCACTGAGCTAAATCCTCAGCCCAGGGCACACATTCTTGTCCATGACCTAGTCGCTTTCTGGCCTGGATCTGAACTTTGTCACTGGTTTCCTCCCCTTTTCTCTGATTGCCCTTTTACTTCATCTATTTCACAAACATTTAAGCATGGCCTATTATATGCCAGGCCTGGACTAGATTCCAGAGGTGCAGAGCAATGTGTGGACTCGTGAGGAAGTCAGAGAAACAGACACATAAATCCCAGATTATAATGCAGAGTGATGGCTGCTACCAAGGATGAAGAAACACAATCACTCTTCACTGCTTACTGGGTCACTCTGTGCCAGGCCTGGGCCTGATCCAAGTGTTAAAGCAGTGAACAACATGGACAAGTTTCCTGCTCTGGGAGTTTACATTCTCATATGGAAGACAAACAATACTCAAACAAGATAATTACAGATTGTGATCAATCCTCCAAAGAAAACACACTCTGGGAGGCTGAGGCAGGAGGACCAAAACTGCAAGCCTGGCCTGGAAAATTTAGGCCTTAGCAAGACCCTCTCTCAAAGTAAAAATAAAAAAGGGCTGAGAATGTAGCTCAGGGCAAAAGTTGGAGTTCAATCTGAGAGGGGGGCGGGGAGGAAGGAAGGAAGGAAGATTGGAGATCTGGTGGACAGAAAACTTTAAAAAGTGTAGCCCAGGAGGGCCTCTTGGAGGAGGTGACATGTGAGTGGGACTCAGGGAAGAGGGAGGAGCCAGTGCACAGACCTTGAGGCTGGAAAGGAGTTGTAGAATAGAAAGGAGCTGGGATGTCAGGCATGGTTGTGCACGCCTGTAATCCCAGCACTCAGGAGGCTAAAGCAGGAGGATCACAAGTTTGAGGCCAGGCTGGGCTACAGAATGAGAAAAAAAAGAAGGGAAGGAAGGAAGAGAGAGAGAGAAAGAGAGAGAAGGCTAGGTGGCTGGAAAGGAGGAAGGGAGGAGTGGGAAAGAGATGGGATCCTCCGGGGCTTGCCAAGCTGGGTTTAATACTAAGTGCACCAGGAAACCACTGGAGGGTTTTAAGCAAGAGAATGACCTAATCAGAATTAAGATTTTATAAGATGACTCTGGCTGCTCCCTGTGGGATGGGCAGTTAGGTGTCCCTTGTGATAATCCAGACAAGAAATCGATGACGGCTTAAAGCAGGTGGGGGCAGCAAGGAGAGTGAAGTGGACTGGAGATGTGTTTTGGAGCTAGGGTCGGCAGCACCTGCAAGTGAGCGGGAGATGGGGCCCGGGATGAGGGAAAAGGCAAAAGCAAGAATGCACCTGGGTGTTCAGTGTGGGCAACCAGGATGGGTGGCGGATGTTTCCTGAACGGGGAAGCTGGGTGGGGCAGATTTGTGCGGGTGGCAATTCTGAGGTGCCTATCAGACATCTGAGTTTATATTGCAAGAGGGCAGACACAGATTTTGCACTAGAGGCATAAATCTAGGTGGAATTCGAAGGCTGGATAAAGAGGCCTGGGCCAGGCATGATGGCACAGGACTGTAATCACCATACCCAGGAGGCTCAGGGGGGAAGATCAAGAGTTAAGGCCAATCTGGGCTACAAGGCAAGGCTAGGGACCCAGATACGTTTAGAGGAGTCTGTAGGAGCCGTGTCTGGCCACCATTGTAACCCTGGAGCTACGTGCGCACAGAGCATGCTCCAGAAACATTTGCTGAAAGGTGGGTGCATTTAGGAACTTGCAGGCAGCTTGGCAAAGCTAGAGAAAAAGTTGGTGGTGGGCATGGGGCGGTCGAGAGATGGAGCTCCAGGATGGAAGGTTAGAAGAGCCCACATCTGCCTGCAAGAGGCCCCTGGTCAGATAAGCATTTGAAAGAGTCCTCTGGTTGGGGAGGCCGGCTGAAGGCAGGGAGGTTAGAGCTCAGAGGCTGGGGCTGCTCCCTGGACTCCAAGATTCCCTACCTGGGGAAAGGGGCCTGTACCCCTAGGGTGATCTAGGTAATGGCTGGGACTTCTGGGGACGACCATTTTTCAGCTAGGAGGGTGCGCCGGGTGTGGTGGTGCCTGTAATCCCAGCACTGGGGCGGGTCAGGGAGGGCTGCTGAGGCAGGAGGACTGCCTTGAGTGGAAACCAGCCTGGGCTACCTAGTGAGTTCAAGGCCAGCCTGAACCACATAGCAAGACTGTCTCAATAAACAAAAACAAACCAAGGAGAGTGGCTGAAAGCAAGAGAGCAAGAGGCTCTCCAATTACCGGGGCGGGGGGGGGGGGGATAATGTCCAATAGGAAGTTCGCCTGTCAAACCCCTGCAGGCATGAGGCTTTGGGTATGAATTAAATTTTAAACATATTCCGCACACCCGGATTCAGTTATTCAAGGGCTTGGAAAGTGGGTGAGGCCGGTCTCCCAGTGAGGGGCAGGGAACCCAGGGGAGACTGGGGGTGGCGAGATGGGAAGGAGAGTTCTACTCTGGGACCTCGGGCCGTCCAGGCAGATACAGCAGCAGCGGGTCAGGGCCTGGGCTTTGAGGTCGGCATGTGGAGGCCATGGAGGTGGACAGGACGGATAGGGTAGAGAGTGGGAAGGCGATGACCAAGGAGCCCCCGGGGCTCGGTCCCTGCCAGTTGGGCGCGAGGCCCGGCGGAGGGCTCAGGGGGAGGAGGTGCCCCGAGGAGGGCAGCGGGGAGACCCCGAGCAGCTCCTCCCCTTGTATCCAGAGCCCACCCGCAAGCAGGGCAGGGAAAGCAGAAGCGAAAAACCGCCCCTGGGAAGCCCGCAGCAGCGACAGCCGGGCGCTCCGGCCCGGGGCGGCGGCGCCCGCAGACCCCCGCCCGGGCCGCACGCACCTCGAGGCGGCGAGGGGCGGCGGAGGTCGCCTCCCAGACCCTGGGCGCTCGGCGGGGCTCAGCCCGCACCCTATCAGCGGGCGCCCGCACCCTCCTGGGACCCGACCCCCGCCCTCCGGCGCCGCCCGGGACCCCTCCCGCTGGCCACCCGGTACCGTCTCCCGGGGAGATGGTCTCGATCTCCACGCCCATCGCGGTCCACAGGCCCCGCCTCCGGGGTCCTCGCCGCTGCCCGACCCCGACCCCGGCTTGGCTCCGGCCCGGGCCCGCAGCGCTCGGTGGTTCCCCGTCGCCTCTGCAGAGCCGGAGGAGGTGCGGCTGGATCGGGACCTGCGCGGGGCGGCGCCGGCAAGGGGCGCGGGGTGGAGCCGGGAGGAACCCTGACGTGGCTTCGCGGGAGCCGGGGACCAGCGCTCGGTAACGCGCGCTCCGCGGCCCACGGCTTCAGCCGGGGCGAGCGAGGCTGGGACGAAGCCGCCCATCCGCTCCGTGCGCATCTACCAGCGCCCGTCCTGGGCTAAGCCAGTCTGCGGTGCGCTGCAGACCGGGAGTGGGCGGGCAAGTGAACTGACGCTGCGCTTTGCCTGTGCTCAGCGCCTGGGAGTTCAGGACCTGTCCTGGCCAGGCCGGGCGCGGAGAGCGAGGACGCCGCACTGCAGCCTCCCCACACCCCAAACCTCCACTCAGGCGCACGTTTTAGGTTCTCCCTTTCCAAGGAAAAGAGCTGCTCCTGGGGACACCAACTGCATTACACCAGGATCTCTGTCCTGCCCGGACGACTCGCTCTCTGAAGATACAGGTACAGTATGAAGAGTGCTGCGCAAATAATGACTGAATTTGGCTCTGCATTTCCTTCCCCCAAAGATCAAGAAATCTAGGGAGACATCCCCCCTCCAAAGACGTTTGGAGGAGATAACATTGGCTCCAAGGCTGGAGATGTGTTTAAGAGTCTCTTTTCTTGCTCTCATTCTTCTCTACGTTGTTCCAAAGACTGATATAAATTTAATTCTCATAAGGGAGAATTATGGGAGGTCGCCACGGGGGAAAAAGCCTGAGCAAAAGTACCCAGAGCAGGCCGTGGAGTGTTCTTCCTCCACTACGCACCGCGCCCTCTCCCACGTGGCCAGGTCACAGAGGAGGACGTCAGTACCCCAGGAGCGGGCCTGGCTTTGGTGTCCAGGAAGGGTGATGGCCAGGATCACGCACGCACACTCACACTCACTCGCACTCACAGTGGGGTTTCTCCAAGGCACATGCCCAGAAGCTTTTGACTAAAGCCTGAAGACAAGCCAGCTCCATGTGCTATGACCATAGGCAGGTGCGGTCTGAGTAGGTGTAGCACAGGGATTTTAACCTGGATAGGCCTGTGAGACGGCTTCAGTTGAACGTACAGTATTTTATGGAGAAGCCCATTTTTCTTGGAGAGATTGTATTGAATTTTCAAGGGGTCTCTGCTTCCTCTCCCCATCACCTCAAAGGAAAACAACAACAAAAAAATTTTTTAAAGCCACGTCGACCCTAGGACTCCGACTTTTTCTTAGACTAAAAGAACTGTAGTCGGGGATTTAGCTCAGTGGTTCCGCCGCCTGCCCCTCAAGCTCAAAGACCCGAGTTCGGTCCCCGGTTAAAAGAAAAAAAAAAAAAGAAAGAAAGAAATGAGAGGAGGGCCAAAGCACTGAGGAGAGAAATTGTGCCCCGTTTACTTGCGATGGTTTCACTGGAACCACAACCCCAGTGACCCTTGCGGCAAAGTCCGCGCTTATTGGCCAATGTCTCCTAACGTGACACATGGAGCAGCCAATAAACAGGGAGAATTGCGGAGCGGGTTCAGCCTCCGCTCACCTATCAGGGACTGTGGGCCGATACTTCCGGTAGCTGCGCAGGAGATCCGAACTAGGTAACTTTGGATGGGGTCACCCCCAGGGAGGCTGGTTTTTTGTGGGGCAGGAAGGCCAAAGGTATTTTGTCTTCAGCTAGCAGCCCTGGCGGGTGTGGGAGGCTGGGGTGGGGCGTAAGGGAGGTGGACGGCGCTTGGGAGGCTAGGTTAGGGAGGTGGAGCGGCAGGTGTCGGGACGTGTCAGGAGAAAGCGGCGGGTCCACATGTGAGGGACTGCAGGGTGAGGACTGAGTCGCAGGTGAGTCTGAGAACGAGTATACCCTAAAGAGGTCACCCAGAGTAAAGGAAATGCTTTTATCACAGCGTCATTTACGGGAGAGCAAAGTTGGCCACAGCCAGGTGTTTTAGAGTAAATTCAGTAAATTGGAGCAAGTTACCTAATTTCACTGTTTATGAAGTGACTTCTAAAAGTAATGTGTATAACTTCTAAGTAACATAGGAAAATGCAGGGCCGGGAATGTAGCTCAGTGGCGCCGCACCTGCCTCGCAAGCGCAAGGTCCTGAATTCGATTCCGGGTACCAAACAAACAAACAAACAACAACAACAACAAAAACAACAATAGGAAAATGCAAATATGTAATTATAAGCGAAAAAAGTGTAACACCAAGAGGTACAGTGTTAAATTGTAGGAAGCAGTTGACTTAGACTAGCTCCTGCACTGGGCCCAACAGACCCAACCAATATAGAGAGTAATCACAGTAGCAGAGCATAATTGCTCAATCTATTCAGTTTATTTTCCTTTTAGCAACATTCTGAAAAAGTTTTAAAAACCCAAACTGTAAGTAAAGTCTGGAAAGTTGTCATAATTTTCCTTGAGGAATGGTTTTTGGTGAATTTCTCTTAATTTTTTGTATCTTTTATGTGATTTTTTTTTCCAAATAAGTGTAAAGAGCTTGAATTTATTTTATAGTGGAAACACAATAAACTTGGAGATTGGTGTACCTGTGTTTAAACTTACTGGAAATGCTCCAGTTCACCTAAATCCCATGGTTCTCTCTCATGAGTTTCCTTAAGAGATTAAAAACAGAAGAATTAAATAATCATATGCTCAGCACCTGGCTCTGATCTTATCTCTCTTTAAAATGCCTAGGGCTCTTGATTTCAGAAAGTTTGTGGTCTAGGGATTGAGATAATGGTACAGATATTCCTCATTTAAAGATCTACCTGTTTAATGACTGGACTAATGACCGAGGCATGCTGTCCCTCTGGGACTTACAACATAGGAACATAAGTGGCAGTGCAGCCTTATGGTGGCTTCTTCTCCTTCTCTGTTGGATTTTGTGTGTGAAAACGCCACAGATTTCTTGGTGGGTATACTGCCTACAGCACTGTATAGACAGTACTGAATATTTGCACCACTACTATACAGTACTGTACTGTACAGTATGTGATGATGTACCAGCCATCCCAACCACCCTAGGGCTTGCTGGTTTTCTGATGTCCATTCCAGGTGGTACCTGTAGTGTGACAATGTGTAATACTCCTTTTTTTGAACAGTAGTTTTGGGAGATCTGGGTACCTTATTCTGTATTGTACTTTATTTTGTACCCCTCAGTATAAGATGTCTTTAAAATGGAAAAGCATGAGTTCACCAGGAGAAATAAAAGAAGGCTATCTATCTTGATGTGAAAATGAAGTTCATACAGGACTTTGAAGCTGGTAAAAAAGTTAAAGCAATAACAGAACTTGAATCTGGTGCATTGAATCATTTCAGCAATCCTGAAGGATAAAGACAGTGAAAGAAGCAGTGAAAACATCAACAGATTTTAAAACCATAACTAGGCAGCAGAAAGGCCTCATTCATGACATGGAAAAATTATTGGCCATCTGGTTTGATGACCAGATAGAAAAAGAATGCCAATGCATCTTTCAGTAATTCACTCACTATCTTCAAGACTTTGAAGGCACATAAAGGTGAAGAATTGATGAAAATTTTTATATCCATGTCATGCATGGTTTCAGCAGTTTTGTGGAAGATTCAACCTGTATAATCATAGTGTCAGTGACAAGTGCAGACATAGAATCAGCAGAAAAACTTCTTGACCAATTTGATAAAATCAGAAAGGCAGCTACTGCCCAGAACAATCTTCAATGTGGGTGAAACCAGACTTTTTTGGAAGAAAATGCCTGAAAGGTACTACGTACACAAAGAAGTTAAAACAGTGTCCTGCTTCAAGTCTTTCAAGGACAGAGTCACATTGTTGGGAGGAAATGTTACTGAGTTCAAATTGAGGCCTTTCCTCCTCTACCACTCAAAGAACCCATGTGGATTGAAGCAGCTTAGTAAGTACGTGCTGCCTGTTTACTATCAAGGGAATAACAAGGCATGGATAACACAAGCTTTGAAGGTTTGCAGACTGGTTCATTAACTTCGTTATATCCCTGGTGAAGTATTACTGTCTGGAAAAGGGCATTCCCTTTAAAATTATTCTCCTGCTTGATAAGGCACCAGGAGGCTACCCCCAGCATCTTGATGATTATACCCAGATGTAAGGGTAATGTATCTACCTAAAAATACAGTCTTACAGCCCATTAACTAGAGGGTTATAGCTACTGTTTACATACAACTTTTTGCAAAGCTCTAACAGCATCAGAAAACATGAGTGATTATGTTACCTTAGTGATTTCTAGAAACCATACATTTTAGACTGCATTAAGGACCCTGAATCAGCTTGGGAAGGAGTGAAAGAAAAGTGTATGCAAGATGTATGGGAAAAATGCCTAAAACGTTTCATGCATAATTCAGAAGCATTTAACAAAGATGAACATGTCAGTCTCATAAAGGAAACAACTGTGGAACTTGCTAACATGCTTAATTTGGAGAATTGAAGTGCAAGATATTGAAGAGCTAGTGAAATATACTGAGGGAGAGTTAAGTACAGAAGATTTAATAGAGTTGGAAACACAGCAACACTTAGAAGAGGAGAAGGAAGAGAAAAGAATTGAAGTACTGTACCAGAGAAATTCACTGCAAAGGGATTAGCGAGTGTATTCTCAAAAGTGAATGTAGCTATGTTAGACTTAGAGGCTATGAATCCAAATGTTGAATGGTTTGTGAAAGTGGAATGGCAAATGAGTAAATTTCTACCATGCTATCGTGAAGTCATGAAGCAAAAAAATGACAAAACAGACCACACTAATGAGATTCTTCATGAAAGCTACACCCAGGACCCCTACTGCTAGTTCTTCCATTTCAACTTTGTCATCAGTTGACATTAGTATTGTACTGGGAGCAGTGAGCTTAACTATTATGATTTTACTTGAGTGTCAAGCACCAAAGTGCTGGGATTACAGATGTGTACACCATGCCCAGCTGGCTCTCTAATTTTTGTTGTTGCTGTTCAGCATTTTCCCAAACTAAAACTCTGGGTGTTATCCTTAATTCTTCTTCCTCACCACTCACATTCTGTTTAATATCTATCAGTTCCATCACCTTAGAAGCATTTCCTGAATCTGGCTTTCTCTATTGAAATAGCTACAGCCTTGGTTCATTTTCTCATCTTGGCATTCAGGCTATTTCATGGCCCCTAATGAAACCTGTCAGCTTTCTTGGCAGGTCCATCCTGCACATTGTCACATTCCCATACTAGATGATACATGACCTTAAATGCTGTGGATTTTGAAAGACTTTAAATTTATTTTGTTTTATTTTTTTGGAGGTGCTAGGGATCAAATCCGGGGCTTTGTGCCCTGGCAATCACTCTATGAGCTATATCCCCAGCTCCCTCTTTTTTTTTTTTTTTTTTTGAGATAAAATCTTGCTAAATTGCCCAGGTAGGACTTGAATTTATGATCCTTCTGCCTCAGCCTTCCAAAGTCTGGGATTACAAGCATGTGCCACCCTATGTCTAGCTAAGAACTTTAAAAAAATGTATATGCTGAAAACCAGCGATTTATCGAAGGTTTTTGAACAGAAGGCAGAATGATCAGAGCTGTGCTTTTCTAATTTCAATATTAGGAATCAAACCTAGCCCTTCCCAAATGCCCATCTCCCCTTTTAAAATTTTTGAGATAGTCTTGCAAAGTTTCCCAGGCTGGCCTCAAACTTGGAATCCTCCTGCCTCAGCCTCCCAGGTAGCTGGGATTATAGGTTTGCACTAACACATCTTGCAAGAGCTGTGGTTTTTAAAAAGATAATTCTGCAATCAAGGCATGGTGGTACACGCCTCTAATCCTAGCACTCTGGGAGGCTGAGGCAGGAGAATAGAGCTCAATGCCAGTCTCGGCGATTTATCAAGTCTTTGTCTCAAAAACTAAGAGCCAGGCATAGTGGTGCATACCTATAATCCCAGCACTCAAGGGGCCGAGGTAGGAGAATTGCCATGAATTTGAGGCCAGCCTGGGCTACATAGTGAGTTCAAGACCAGCCTAAACTACATAGTGAGCCCTGTCTTTAAAAAAAAAAAAACCCACTAAGAAAAGGGCTGAGGATGTAGCTCAGTGCAAAGGCTTTGGGTTTATTCCCTGGCACCACCACACACACACACACACACACACACACACACACACACTCTCTCTCTCTCTCTCTCTCTCTCTCTCTCTCTCCCCCGTTGGGAAGAAGAGACTAAAGTCAAGGGAACCTCACCTTTGATCTATCCTTTTTTTTCTTTTTTGTACTGGGAATCAAACTCGGGTCCTTGTGCTTGTGCAGCAGGTGGCGAAACCACTGAGCTAAATCCCTGGCCCTGATCTATCCTAATAGTAAGGTAGAGGTGGTCAGGACCTGGTCTAGCACTGAAGTAGAAAGAAGTGGAACATATTTTTGTAATTATTTTTAGATTTTTGAGGAGAAAACATCTAATTTCTACTTGTTACTACAGAAATACTGAGATGTACTTTTCTAAAAAAATCACTAAACTTATTTTCATGTCTGTTTTTCCCTTATTCACAAATCCTTTTTTTTTTTTTGGTGCTGCAGTGTCCACAATACACCCACAATAACACCAGACTGAACTGGGTGGCGTGAAATAAGTCGTATAAATTACCTTTAATACAATTGGCCCATTAGGAATTTTTCTGTCCAGGAAAATGTATCATGCATTATGTATCAAACGAAGTTTTTAAAAAGTCCGTAAGAAGATATTAGGGCAATCATCCATTATAGAAGACCAGTGGGACAGAGGTTGCAGCTTTCGTCATTAGTAGTGGCAGGGGACTTATCTCCATTTAGCAAGCCACTGCAGAACCACAAGTCTGACCTCATGTATAGAAGTGTCACAGACCATTGTTGCCTTCACAGGACCCTAAGTGCAAAAGCTAGCAAACTCAGGACCTTGAGCTTTGAAGGCAGGCGTCGGAACCACTGAGCTAAATCCCCGGCCCCCTCAGTAGTCTTAATGTGCAACATTCCACCTGTCCCCATGATATTGGCCCGTGAAGGGTCTAACTATTAGCATGGCCAGCATTCTGGGTTTGTCTTGTGATTTTTTTCATGGTGCAGCTTTTTTTCTTGATCGTTTCAGATCACTGTTAGAAAGGATGGAGTTAGGAAAAGGAAGACTGCTCAGGACTGGACTGAACGCATTGCACCAAGCTTTACACCCCACCCACGGCCTTGCCTGGACTGATGGAAACCAAGTAGTCCTGACTGAGTTACAGCTTCACAATGGAGGGGCTAAATTTGGGGACTCCAGAGTCCTGGGTCAGTTCGGACATGTAAGGGGGGTCTCCTGGGCCCCGGCCGACACAGCCGGCGTGCCTGTGCCTGCGCCTGCTCTGCTTGCTGTGCAGCACGAGAAGCACATAACTGTGTGGCAGCTGAGTCCCACCACCACAGGGTCAAGCAAAGGGCTGATGTCTCAGACTGCCGAGATTCGAGAGTCTCTCCCTGTCCTTCCCCAGGGCTGTGTGTGGCACCCGAAAAACACTCTCCTAACTGTGTTGACTGCGCACGATGCCTCTGTTTTCCCCAACGTTCACTGTGACAGTTCCCGGGTGAAAGTGGACATCAGCAGCCAAGGCCGCATTCACTGTGCGTGTTGGACCCGGGACGGCCAGAGGCTGGTGGTGACAGTAGGCAGCTGCCTTCATTCTTACGTCTGGGACAGTGCTCAGAAGACTCTTGCCAGGTGCTCCGTCTGCCCAGTGTTCAGTCTGGACAGCTGTGTCTGCTCCCTCCAGGCCACCGTGGACTCAGGGGTTGCTGTCACCACTGAGCTGCCACTGGATAAGATTTGTAGCTTAAACGCATCTGAAACCATTGACCTTCCAACTAATGGTGAAGGCGGTCTGCAAATTTCTCCAGTTGTTGGTGAGATGTCCTCTGTGGAGAAGGAGGCAGCTGCTTCTGAAACAGATTGTATTTCTCCTTCCTTCTCAGATCTTCTGGATCTGACCCATTTACATTTCAGCCGACCTCAGTCTGAGGAAGGTGCTCTTTTTTATCTAAGAAAAGAGGACTACCTGACAGGGACTGGCCAGGATTCTTCTCATTTGGTCCTTGTCAGCTTTGGGAAGGAGGTTAACGTGACCAGAAGAGTCACTATTCCAGGCATTCTGGTTCCTGATCTGATAGCATTTAATCTCAAAACACAGGTAGTGGCAGTGGCTTCCAATACATGTAATATAATTTTGATCTATTCTGTCATTCCATCTTCAATGCCAAACATCCAGCAGATTCAGTTAGAGAATGATGAAAGACCAAAAGGCATAAGTTTCATGACCAATAGATCATTACTAATTTTGGTAGGAAGACAAAAGTCTACTGATACGACATTTCTTCCTACTTCAGAGTCTGATCAGTATGTCATTCGCTTGGTTGTTAGAGAAGTTATGTTAGAAGAATCTTCAGTAACATCTAATGAAAGCCAGAGTGTCAATGCTACTTCCATTGCTCTGTTAAACAAAGCAAATGGAAAAAAGTTAATTGAAAGCCTTCCCCCAGATTTTTGTCATCAAAACAGAGAGCTCCTCTTAACAGCAAACACCAATAGTCAGAGTGCAAAGCCCGGAAAAACTCTTATTGAAGAAATTAAAAGTCCCCTGTCCAGTATCCTGGATGGTTCTGTTGCCCTGGAAACACTACAGAGGCCCTCCTGGGCCTGGGCATCATTGCCCGGACTCACTAGCACGCCAGAACCTCCAAATGTTCCTCGAAGAGAGAATTTGGAAGAGGAAACTCACCAACAAACCAAGGGCCTAGAAATTTTGTCTAGGAACATGACTGAAATACAGCAATGTCTTTTCGAACTCAGAGATTTTCTATACAATGGGAAGAAATCTCCAGTGTATCCACTCTCTAATGATCCCCCTTATGTTCACATCATTTACCAGGTAATTGTTTTTCTTTTGGTTTTTTGAGACAAGGTCTCCTGAGTGCTGGGATTACAGGCATGCGTCACTGCCCCGGCATGTAACTTCTTCAAGGAGCTACCACTGTGCATAAAAGCTCCTGCATTCAGTGGGCACTGCGGGAAACGTACTGATGAGGAAGAGGCGCTGTACTTGGGCTTCACTGACCTGGGAATGTTAGGTTACAGGCAAGCTGATACACCTTTGCAGATCGGCTGGATGTTCACCTACCAACCAGGTTGGTGCACACACCAGTGTAACATGATTTTATCATGTTCTTAGTGTGAAAAATGACCACTCCCTCTGGCAATTTTTATTTAGATTCTGGGCATGATGGTGAAATTGCAGTACTCAGGAGGCTAAGGCAGGAGGGTCGCTACAAGTTCAAGGCCAGCCTGGATACATAGTGAGACCCTGTCTCAAAAATATATATATATATTTAGAAAAAAATACATACTTATATTTTGATACTGGGGATTGAGCCCAGGGCCTCACCCGTGCTAGGCAAGCACTCTACCACTGAGCTGTATACCCAGCTCTTTATACTATGTCTTCAGACAGGGTCTTGGTCAGTTTCCCAGGCTGACCTCAGAACTTTTAATCCTAGAAACTTTCCATCTTCCTATCTTACCTTCAAAAGTAGCTGGGATTACAGGCATGCACCACAGTGCTTGGCCAGTAAAAATAATATTTTCAATTGAGTAATTTTCTTGTGTAAACCTTTTCCTTGTTCAGTGGAGATACTATTTCAAATATAGGGAAGTTGTGTTCATTTAAAATGCTTTATATGCATCTGTTCAGGCATGTGCAAGGATCCTTTATTTATATTCTGAGACAGGGTCTCATTATATAGTCCAGGCTGGCCTCAAACTTGAGGAAATCTTCCTGCCTCAGCCTTCCAAGGCCTGGGATTACAGGAGTGTACCACCATGCCCAGCAAGGAAACATTATTTATTTTATTTTATTTTATTGGTACTGGGGATCAAACTCGGGTCCTTGCGCTTGCGGGGGCCAGGCGGCGGCACCACTGAGCTAAATCCCTTTTTGGCTTTTAAATAACGCATCCTTGGGGCCGGGGATTTAGCTCAGTGGTGCCGCCGCCTGCCCCAGCAAGTGCAAGGACCCGAGTTTGATCCCCAGTACCAAAAAAAAGGGCAAAAGATTTACTCAATCTGAAGAGAAACCAGAGTACAGGATGCATTATTAAATGGGTTCATAGCCCATGTTTTTTTTTTTATCATATATACTTGATTTTACATCGATTGTGGCCATACCCCATCCTGCTCATAACCCACTTTAACCACCAGCCTAGTGGACCCTTCTGTATTTTCCCCCGTACTCATGGTCCAACACAGATTTTTGTATATGTAAATATATGCTGTAGGTATGTGTGGAGTACAAAAGGAGACTCACGCGGTGCCCTGTTTGGTGCTGAGGGTGTGCTGTGTGCAGCTGCTTGCTTGCAGATGCCATTCCCTGCGTTTTCAGTTATCAGCCGCTCCAAACGTGCTGACACCACGCCTGTGCCCATCAGGTTAGGCCTTTGTTTCTGCTGGTTGGTTCCCAGAAGTGGAAGCGCGAATTTGAAGAGTGTGGATGTTTGTAGTTTTGATAGAGATCCTATCCGTCCTTCCCAGGGTTTTTTCCTTTACTTAACAGTGCATTATCACACACCACCAGCAAGATGTGATTGTGCTTTTGCTCACGCATCACCAACACGATCAGCGTGAGATATTTCACTTTTGTTGATTAGTGAATTTGAGTATGTTGTCATGCTTTTCAGCCAACTGAATGTGAATTGCCTGTGTTCATTTTTCCCCCTTAGGTTATCAGTTTATGTGAGGTTTTCAGAAAGTATGAAAGTTGGCATACATATGATCTCTCGATTTCCGTGACAGTATTTGAGTTTTTGCATTTAAGCTTTTTGGTTTTGAGGGAGGTGCTTGTGGTAGGGATTAAATTCATCGGCACTGTGCCACCAAGCTACATCCTGTCTTTTTACTTTTAGTTTGAGACAGGGTCTTGCTTAGTTGCCCAGGTGGGACTCCTACTTCTGATCTCCTTGCCTTAGCCCTCAGTGGTGGGGTTACAGGCTGTGCCACTGCACCCAGTGTACATTTATGTTTTGAATCTTTAGTTTTGTTTTAGTATATGATCCACTCTCGTTTTCTGGGTGATAATCAGTTGTCCTAGCAACATTATTAAAAATCCATTTTAAAAAATCCATTTTTATCCCACTAAATTTATTTTACCACATTTGTCATATCTAAACATGTATATGGGAATGTAATTCTGCATTCTAGATACTGTAACTACTGTCATGCTGATCTCTATCTAAAATGGTATCAATACCAAATTGATTTGATTATCATGGATTTATAGATTTGTTTTAAAAGATATTTATAGAGTGTTGATACTGAAATCCGTAGCATATAAATTACTACTTAAGTAATAGTCAAGAAGAAGTATTTTGCTCCATGTGACACTACATGCCTGTAAACCCAGCACTCAGGAGGCTGAGACAGGAGGATTGCCTCAAATTCAAGTTCAAGACCAGCTTGGGCTACATAGTGAGTTCAAAGCCAACCTGGACTACATAGCAAGACCCTGCCTCAAAAAAAAAATTTTTTTTTAATTAGTGTTTTCTTAAAACTGTTATTATTCCATCAATTCAAGGATGTAGGTTTTTTTTTTTTTTTGGTACCGGGGATCGAACTCAGGACCTTGTGGTTTCGAGACAGGCACCAGGACCACTGAGCTAAATCCCCAGCCCTAGGATGTAGGGTTTTTTTGGTTTGTTTTGTTTTTGTACCGGGGATCAAACTCAGGTCCCTGCGCTTGCCCAGCAGGCGGCAAAACCACTGAGCTAAATCCCCAGCCCAAATGTAAGTTTTTTGAAAGAACCAAAGAGCGGAGAGTGATGGCAATGCCTGTAATCCCAGCACTTGTGAGGATGATGCCGGAGAATCTCTGTGAGTCTGAGGCCAGTCCAGGCTACACAGTGAGTTCAGGGCCAGCCTGAAGTACATACCAAGACCCGGTCTCAAAAAATCAACGACGCCCATGAAAGAAATGTTAACTTGCTTTTTTGGGGGGAGTACCAGGAATCGAACTCGGGTCCTTGCACTTGCGAGGCAGGTGGCAGAACCACTGGGCTAAATCTCCAGCCCCTTCTTGCTTTTTGAATCAATTTAACAACTTTTGTTTTTATTTGAAGAAACCTTCTTATATAGGTCCTGTTGAAAAAAGAATGGTGCTTCTCTGCAGTGGCAAACTGAGGCTCAGTATGATCCAGCAGATGTTCGGTCTCTCTCTTGTTGAAATGCTGCACGGTAGGTTAAATTCAGAATACACACGCCACCCCACCCCACCCCTGCCACCCTTCCCCTATTTCTGCAACTCCTGCTTGTAACCCAGTGGAGCCTGTCAGCCCGGTCTGGTGCAAGTGCCTGTAATCCTGCACTCCCAGGCTGAAGTGGGATGGCAAGCTCAGGCCCAGCCTGGACCCTTGGTAGCTTAGTGAGACCTCGCCTCAGAATTTAAAATTAAAAAAGGCTGGGGATGTAGGTCAGTGTGAAGGCCCTGGATTCACCCCCTAACACTGCCAAGAAAAAGAAAAAATAATCTGTGAGCTGGGGATTTAGCTCAGTGGTGCCGCCGCCTGCCTTGCAAGCAGAAGGTCCTGAGTTTGATCCCTGGTACCAAAAATAATAATAATCTGTACCAAACATTCAGGATGGAAACCATTCTGTAATTCACTAGGTAGTTGACAAGAATTACTAATTGCCTGTTCTGTACCCAGGCCAATTAGAGGTTCCAAAACACATGGGAAATACGGGTTCTGCTCTTGGGGAATTTAAAGTATAGATGAAACAATTAAATGTGCACTTGAAAAGACCAGAAAGAGTTACAAAGCAATAAACAACAGTGGTAAGGAGACCACATAGCTACCTCACCTGCGCCTGTTGTACTAAAAGAGAAAATAGCAGCGTTGTAGAATATTTCTTAAAGGAACTGTCACTGTAATGTGGAGCAAGCACGGAGATCAGAAGGACACTCCTGCGTGGCAAAGCGCTGACGGGTGGTCACGGTCATCAGATGAATCTGGCTCTTTTCTTAGGGCTCATTCTTTTAAGAGTAGCCCCCACACTGAACATAACATATTTGCTTTTTCCCCTTTAACCTTTGTAACGGTTTGTATCAAGATGTATCCCAAGTTCTTATGATTGAATTATGGGGGCCCTGTAGCTAATGTACCCTTACGGGACAGAGCCTGCTGGGAAAAGGCAGATCGTTGGGCATAGCCTGGAAGCTACGCTGTTTCTCCCTTCCATCTCTCTGCTTCCCAGCTGCCAGGACCCTTCCCTCATGCTTCTGACCATGTGAGGACTGCAGCTTCTAAAATGCGAACCAGAATAGACTGCTTCACCTTGTGCATGTTAGGTATTTTGTCCCAGTGAAGAGGAAAGTAAGACAGCATCGTAACAGCATTTTTCTGTATTGACATGTGCATTTATGATATGGCTTTATAATTGTCATTTCATCTTTTTGGTTTGTTTTGAGACAGGATCTCGCTGTGTAGTCCAGGCTGGCCTTGAACTCACTATGTACCCCAGGCTGGCCTCGAACTTGTTGCAGTCCTCCTGCCTCAGCCCCCTGAGTGCCAGATTATGGGTGTGCAGCACCACACCTGGGTTGTAATTGCCATTTTAAATGAATGGGTTAATACTTTGCTGTATTTTTCTTTGTCACATTTAGGTGGTTTTCAGTGTTTCACCATTATAAATAACTAAGAAAAACCTCTCTGCATATTTTTGTATGTTATTTTTAGAAGTGCAGATTTTCAAAAGTGAAATCACAGGTCAAAAGGTAAGACACAGATTTGAAGGATCCAGAAAGGGTCACACTCAAGTTACACTAGAGGCCCTAAGTCCCCTAGAACAAATCATTCGGGATGTCCTGCAGCCCTGCATTCTGCTGTCAGCTTAGCTTCTCTGGATGTCTGTGGGTTAGTGGGTTAGTACAGATCTACAGAGCAAGGAATGCTCCTCCGTAGAATAGCGTTCGCAACTCAGGGCTTCTGGAGAAGCTGATGAACATGTCAGCAGGGTGGGAACTTTGATACCGCCCTTAATGTGTGCACACGCACACAGACGCACACACACACCGCTCACATGTATAGCACTGGGTGATAAATACCTGGCCTGTGCTTCTTATTCTGTACCGAAGTGACTGACTTTGGATGATCATCTAACCTTATCCTAATCCTAAAGTTGTGTGTTCTCTGTTTCTTGAGGCAGGGTCTTGCTATGTATTCCTGGCTGGGCTTGAACTCACTTTATAGCCCAGGCAGCCAGTAAACTCTTAGCAATCCTCCTGCCTCAGCCTCCTGAGTTCTGGGATTCTAGGCATGTGCCACCATGCCCACTTCAGCTTACCCTAAGTAATATTCCATTTTTTAAATCTCCTGTTCTCTGTAAAGTCTTATGATGAGGAGTTTCATTATCAACTATCATATTACAGTAAGAAAAATTGTTTAGGGCCGGGGATTTAGCTCAGTGGTTCTGGTGCCTGCCTCGCAAGCACAAGGTCCCCGGTTTGATCCCTGGTGCCAAAAAAAAAAATGTTTTTTAGTCATCTGTTTCTTCTGCTGCCACTTTTTTTTTTTTTTTTTTTTCAATACTGGGGATTGAACCCAGGACCTTTGCACTGAGCTATATCCCCAACTCTTTTTTATTTTTTATTTTGAGACAGGGTCTTGAGACTCTTAAGTTGCCCAAAATAGGCTTGAACTTTTTATCCTCCTGCCTCAGCCTCCCAGAATGTGGGGATTACAGGCTCATACCACCATGCATAGCTTTTTCCTTTTGTTCTGTTTTTTGTTTTTGAGAAACAGTCTTATGGGGTAGTTGGAGCAGGCTTGATTGTCTCTTTTCAGCAAAACTTTTTTTTTTTTTTTTGGTACCGGAGATCGAACTCAGGTCCTTGCGCTTGCAAGGCAGGCAGCGGAACCACTGAGCTAAATCCCTGGCCCTTTAGCAAAACATTTATTGGTACATTTTGGATGTACATGATGATCACACTCATCACAGGGAATTTGCCCCTGGATGTGATACATGAGCAGGCTTGAACTGGATGTGTCACCTAAACATGCCTCTAACTTGGTGCTCTTGCCTCAACTTCTCAAGTGCTGGGATTCCTGGCTTTGTTTCTTTTTGTAGGCTTCTTTTCTTTATGGAGTTGATGCCCTAAATTACCTGATGTTTCTTTTTCCTTGCAGACTCCTGCTGGATCCTGCTCTCTGCTGACAGTGAAGGCTTCATCCCGCTGACTTTCATAGCCTCCCAGGTGCTCATCGTGCGGGATGGCAACCCGCGCCGCTCGGAGGTCTGCAGGGACTCTCTCTCTCACAGCCAGGACCCTGTCCCTCCGCCCAAAGGCTCTGGAGACCTTGCTGCCCGGAGCCCGGACACCCCTGGCTGTCCTTGCCACGTGGATGGTGCAGCCTGATGCCTATGATGGCGGGGTCGCTCTGCACCCTGGACTCGGGTGAGTCTCACAGCGTCACAGCTGAGGCACTGTCTTGGTGGCCTTGCCGTCCTCCCCGGCCGAGGCACACTGGCCAGTGGCCGTACTCGGTGTCTTTGTCAGATGGCTCGGAATGTGGTTGCTTTCCGTGTTCGTGACCATAGAGTTGCATCTAAGGGCAGACCACCTAGAACAAACTCACGCTGGTGCCCTGTGACTTGCATCTCATGGTTTCTCTGAAGCTTTGTGTCCCTTGTCCAAAGCAGTGTTAATGCCGTACTGGGGTCAGCACCGTTGCTTGTCTTGGCTCCAAGTCGAGGGCGAGAGCGCTGCTATGGCACACGGAGCGTATGCTACAGAAAATGACTTCTGCTCCAGGGCTGCCTGGGGCTGGAGGTCGCTCTGACGTTGGCCTTTCCTCCCAGGATTTAAACCCAACTCTCTTGCTTCCTTCAACTGTTCTGGCCGGGCATGATGGTGCGCACCTGTAATCCCAGCACTGGAGGGAGAGGGTGAGACAAGAGGATCACTAGGAGTTCAAGGCCCACCTGGGCTACACAGTGAGTTCAGGGCCAGCCAGGAGTACATAGCGAGACCCTGTGTCAAAACAAAACAAAAAGCGGGCATTTAGCTCAGTGGTTCCACCGCCTGCCTTGTAAGCGCAAGGTCCCGAGTTCGATCCCCAGTACCAAGAAACAAAAGAACAAAAAATATCTTTTAAAATTTAGAAACGTTTTTTGAGCCAGCTGTGGTGGGGCAGACCTATATTCTAGTACTTGTGAGGATAAGGCAGTGGGAGTGAGAGTTCAGCACTAGCCTGGGCTACATAGTGAGACCCTGTCTCAAAATACCCAAACCAGTGAGCAAAAATATCCCCAAAACCTTCAAGAACGGAGAAACGTGGCTGACAGAGGTCCACACACTGCTGAATTGGAATACACTTCCCTGTGATTTGAGCCTGGAACTCCGGATGTGTTAGTGCCCTGGCGGTCAGTCACAGGTGAGCAACCTCCTGCTGTGGCTGCTCTGATTATCTCCCTGAAATGGGTTGCTTTATGTTGTTTCTCAGCTATGGTATCCTAAGTTTCCTAACGGTCAGCCCTGTTAGTTAACTTGTCACTTTTTGTGTGTGTGTCCTGGGGACCAAACCCAGGCGCTGTGCACGCCATGCAAACACTCTGCCACTGGGCCACACCTGTAACCCAGCTTGGCACTTTATCTTTTTCTCTCTTTTTTTCTTTTTCTTTTTGTCACTTTAATTTAGATATTTTTTCTTTCCAGCCTTAGAGATCAGTGTGTAAACTATGAAAGTATATAAGAAAGTTGAAAATGTTTCTGAATCTGAGGTACAGCAGTTCTGAAAAGTACCAGCTTTCTCTTTATGGCTAAAGTGCCAGCTGGATAATGAAAGAACCCTGAATCAGTTTAGATGGACACAGCGCTCCTCACCGCCCTCATGAAGAGCCACTGGTTCAGTCCCCACGGAGCGGCTGGACAGCACACTGTTCCTGCCGTAGAAGGTCCATTAGCACACACACCCCTTTAAGTTGTCTTGAAAGATGATACTGGGTACCCTTGGGAAGCCTGCTTGTCTGTCATAGTCTATGGAGATGGAGCTGGGCTCGCTAGGAGAGAAGTGAGGGCCCATTTGTGGTTCAGATGCATTAACTGCCGGGATAATGGAGGCGGAGGCTGCTGGTCTGTGAGCAGTGGTCGGAGCGTGGCGGCTGAGGACAGTCTGAGGTCTGGCCCCATCTGCAAAGGAAGTGAGATCACAACTGTATCAAGCCCAGAGGGGCCTAAGGGACTTGAGTGAGAGCAGTGTGAATGTTATAATCACTGTTTCTCGAGGCAAATCCTATGAATGCATCAATAAAATCGCTATTATTTTTGTGGCTGTTTTGAATGTTTTGGAATTTTTTTGTGATTATTTCTGGTATAGAGAAAGGTTCTTGATTTTATATATGTGTATGTTGTTTTGTATCTTTTTCTGGGGCATGCAGTCCAGAATATAAATTGTTTCTTCATATTTCATTTCAAATGGAGGGTGGTGCCTTTCTCTCCAGAGGGTGGCAACAGCAGCAGGATGCAGGCTCGGGATGCTGCATGGCTTTGGTCAGTCTGGGGGTGGCTCTCGCCTCTTCTTCACATTGCTCGCAGGATGGGAACAGATTTTGACCAGCAATTCCTCAGATAGAGGAGTAATACCTAGAGTATATAAAGAATTCAAAAAATTAGACCCCTGGACCGGAGATTTAGCTCAGTGGATCTGCTGCCTGCCTCACAAGCTCAAAGACTGGAGTTTGATCCCTGGTACCAAAAACAAACCAAACAAAAAAATTAGACCCCCCCAAATAAAAGACCCAATAAAAATGGAAAACTGAAATGAACAGACACTTCTTAGTTGAAGAACGCAGATGGCCAGTAAATAAGTGAAAAAATGTTCAACATCACAGGCCATTAGAGAAATGCAAATTAAAACAACACTGAGATTCCACCTTACTCAAGAAAGAATGGCTATGATCAAGAAATCAAAGGGCCAGGGATTTAGCTCAATGGCACTGCACCTGCCTCACAAGCACAAGGTTCGGAGTTCAATCCCCTGTACTAGGAAAAACAAATAAATGCTGGGCTGGGTGTGGTGGTGCACGCCTGTAATCCCAGTACTTGGGAGGCTGAGGCAGGAGGATCCTCACAATTTTGAGCCTAGTTTGGGCTACAAAATGAGTTCAAGGCCAGCTTGGACTATATAGCAAGACCCAGTCTCAAAAAAACAATGCTGGGCGGGGATTTAGCTCTGTGGTTTCACCACCTACTGTACAAGCGCAAGGACCCGAGTAGTTCAATTCCCAGTACCAAAAAACAAAACAAAAAAAACAATGCTGGAGAGGCAGTGGAGGTGGGGTGGGGAGGCCCTGCTATATAGTTGGTGGAAATGTAAACCAGTACAACCATTACGGAAATCAGGACGGAGACTTTTTTTTCTCTTTCACTATCTTTATGGTGTCCTTTGAAACACAGTAAGAGTTTTCAAGTTTGGTGATGTTCAGTTTATCTCTGTCTCCTTTTTGTGACTTGTGATTTCCTTACAGAGGACAGTAGCTATCAGATCTCAATATCCGTGCTAGGTTGTTAGAAAGAACTCTTTAATGCTGGAGCCATTTCATTTTGGGTCTGTCACAACAGTCTAACATACACTACTCCGGAGGTCCTTTTAGTGAAAATTTGTCGGTGAACTGTTTCTTTTTGTATGTAAATTGTTTATTTCAGTCTTGAAATAGTTTGCTGATTGTTCAATTCTGGCTTTAACTGAGTACTTTTCTTGGAATTATGAGTCTTGTTTTCATTTGTAGATGATGTTTTTTCCCTTCACCCTAGCATTTGCAGGATCTGGTGCAACCATGGTGCCGCTAGCCAACGCCACAGGACAGCGGTAGGGTAAGGGGAGTCCGCATAGGATCGCTCTGGAAGGCCAGATCCGATGGTGCAATTCTGTCCGACCCCAGAGCCCACACGGTGCAGTTGGGATGGGCAGTTCCCCCACCTCACCCAAACTACCCTGGCTCGGCCTCTCCGACAGTGGGCCGGCCCAGCCACGCCACGCCCCCGCCACGCCCCATCCGCTTCTGGACTGGTCTAGTGTCAGCGATCTGTGCAGTGCAGCTCCACAAGAAAAGCTAGTAGTCCCCGGCGCTATGGCTGCCCTACGTGCCATGCCATGCTGCCCCGCATCCGGGGCCCCCTCCAGCCTCTGTCCCGCTGCCCCGCCCTGCATCTGTTTTCAGGATGGAGATTCTTCAAAAACCTAAAAATGGAAATTACATTTTTCCCCAGCCATTCCCCTTCTAGATGTCTCCCTGCCAGAGTTAAAGACATCATATTACAATGACACATGTATACCCATGTTTATAGCAGCACAATTCAAAATAGCTAAATTGTGGGGGCAACCTCTATGTCCATCAGCAGTTGAGTGGATAAAGAAAATGTATTTATACACAATGGAGTACTACTCTGTCACGAAGAGGGATAAACCTGAGTCATCTGTAGGAAAATGGATGCACCTTGAGACCATAATGTTCAGTGAAATCAATCACACACAAGCCTAACTGTCACATGGTTCCTCTTAAATGAGAAACACAAAATACAAGGAGCCAAGTAAAAGATTGATAATAGGAAACAGGGAGAAAGATCTTTTTTTGTTGTTGTTGCTCTGGGGATTGAACTCCAGACGTTTCCCTTGTGAGGCAGGGAGCGGAACCACTGAGCTAAATCCCCGACCCAGAAAGATCTTTTGTGAGTGGGAAGGGGACCAAGAAATAGAGGGGGTGGGAAGGGGATGCAAAAGGAATTGAGATGTGTTGTGTACATTACAACTCCCCATGAGGAGTGTGATGATTGTGTTCTGCCAACATGTACCTCCCCCACCCCCCCACCCCCCCACCCCCCGGTTTTTGAGACAGGGTCTTGCTCTGTATTCTAGATGACCTTGAAAACTATAGCCCAGGCTGGCCTCCAATTTAGGAATCCTCCTGCCTCAGCTTCCTGCGTGCTGGGATTACAGGGACTGCCACTGCCCTGGAGAAACATTTTTTAAAAGATGTAATCAACCAATCAGATCAGCAGAAAGGCAACAATGCCCATGGTCAGTGTTTCTTCTTAACACTTCATCACAGGATCCAGCCAATACAGTAAAATAAGGAATTAGTCATGTTATAAACGAGAAGATTGCCTACATAGAAAACTCAAAAGAATCTGCAAATTATTAGAATAAGAGAGTACAGCAAAGTATAGTAGATTAACAAAAACATTGTACTTTCATATACCAGCAAGTTATAAAATAATTTTAGTTCTTTAAATTTTAAAAAAATATGGTGGTACTGAGGATTGAAGCCAGGGCTTTCTCACTAAGCTACATGCCAATTTCTTTTGTGTTTTTTATTTTGGGACAGAGTCTAGCTAAACAGCTAAGTTGCCCAGGCTGGGCTTGAACTTGTGTTCCTCCTGCCTCAGCCTCCTAGAGTACTGAGATTACAGGCATAAGCTACCCTGCCCGGCTATAAAATATAATTTTTAAAATGTTAAGAGCAGGGTACAGGGGCACATACCTGTAACCCCAGGTTATAGAATCTCAGAAGGCTGAGGCTGGAGGATTGCAAATTTGAGACAAGCCTAGGCAACTTAATGAGACCCTGTCTCAAAAATTTTAAAGGGCTGGGGTTGTAATTAAATGCTAGGGCTCTGCTGAGTTTGATCCCTGGTACCACAAAAAGAGTCATTAGCAGTACACCAAAAAATAGGAAGTACCTAGAAATAAGTAAAAGTGTGGAGCAGGAGGATGGCCTCAATAAAAGTGAGGCAGGGGCCAGGGATTTAGCTCAGTGGTGCCACTGCCTGCCTCACAAGTGTAAGGTCCCGAGTTTGACCCCCAGTACCAAAAAAAAATAAATTACATAAATAAAACTGAGACAGGAGGGTTGACAATTTGAGGCCAAGGCCGGCCTGGAGCAAATAGCAAAGCCCTGTCTCAAAACAAAAAAAGCCCTGGAAAGATTGCTGCTTTTAGCCGGGATATAGCAATACAGACAAGATCTAGCCTCCTGCCTGAATCAATAAAAACAGTGGACAGGGGCCCAGGGATTTAGCTCAGTGGTTCTGGGGCCTGCCCCAAAAGTGCAAGGACCCAAGTTCGATCTCTGGTACAAAAGAAAAAAAACAAAGCAGTGGACAAATATAAAACACTTCTCAAAACACTAGGCATCAAACAAAGAAGGAACATGAAAAGAGATGAAAAACAAATGAGATAAAGCCGGGGGTGGGGGGGGGGGTGGTAGCTCACACCTGTAATCCCAGTGCTCAGGAGGCTGAGGCAGGAGGATGGCCAGCCTGGGCTACACAGTGAGTTCAAACCTAGCCTGAAATGCATAGTGAGACCCTGGCAAAACAAAACAAAAAATTCATTCCTTTCGTATTTTAGATTAGTCCCTGGTCAGATGACACAAAGTTGCTAAATTGCCCAGGCTGGGCCTGAACTTGTGATCCTTCTCCCTCAGCTTCCCAGAAAGCTAGAATTCTAGGCATGTGTCACCACACCCAGCTAATTTTATCTAACCATGTTGAGTCTAGTTTTCCCAGCACCATTTATTGAAGAGACTGTTCTTTCCTCATTGGGTACTTTGTCACACTTATCATCCCAGCACTCAGGCTGAGGCAGGCCAGTCACCATGAGTTCGAGGCCACCCTGGGCTACATAGTGAATTCAAGGCCAGCCTGGACTACATAGCAAGGCTCCATCTCAAAAAAAAAGAAAAAAAATCAGTTGTTTGTAAATGTGTGGATTTATTTCTGGGCTTTTTGAAAAGTTTTTATTGGTATGTATTTGTGATACATGATAATTAATTGCATTCACCTTGGGGAATTGGTACCTAAACATATTGGGCCTTCTTTTGTGTTCCATTGATCTATGTGTCTGTTTTATCCTGTACTACGCTGGTGCGATTTCTACATCTTGGTTTGTGTAGTATATTTTGAGGTCAGACGGTGTTATACCTTTAGCTTTTTTTTTTGAGACAGGGTCTCACTATGTAGTCCAGGCTGGCCTTGAACTCACAGTGACCCTCCTGCCTCAGCCTCCTGAGTGCTGGGATTATAGGTGTGCACCACCCTGCCCAGGCCTTGCACAGCTTTATTGTTTTCACTCAAGGTTTGTTTGGCTATGGGGGGCCAGTCTGCATTGGTTTCAGATGAAGTTAAGCCTAGTTTTTTCTAGTTCTATGAAGAATGGCACTGGTATTTTGATAGGACTGTGTTGGCTTTATTGCTCAGAGTTTTGTTTTGTTTTTTTAGGGGGGTTGTGCTCTGTGGCCCAGGCTAGCTTGGATATCACTGGGTACCGAGGCTGCCCTGGAACTCCTGATCCTCTGCCTTCGCCTCTGGAGTCCGGGGATTACAGGTGTGTGCCACCGCACCTGGCCGAGTGTCACAGGTCATCAGACATTTTTCCTGTGGAGAGGTGGCCCTGAGTCCTGTTTTGCTTGAATTGCCTGAAGCACGCTCACTGAGGCAGCTAGCCCAGCAGAACCCGAGCTGGCAGTAGAGTCTGGTGGGTGAGATCACACTGCCCGAGACATTAAGGCGCATCAAGAGAAAGGCACAGATGCCCTCCTCGGTGGCTCGGATGGTGGAGCCAAGGCAAGGTGGGGTGGGGTTTGAGCCAGAGTGTCCCGCATCAGCCGCCTAGTGATAAGGGCATCCTTGCTGGTACATGCTTGGTATCATCCACTTAACCCCTAATGCCATCCCGATGTATATGTAACACCGTACACATTTGTTCAAAAAAGAAATGTCCAGGGGCCGGGGATGTAGCTGTGGCGCCTTGCCTGCCTGGCAAGTGCAAGGTCCTGAGTTTGATCCCCCATACCTGCAAGAAAAGGAAAAGAAAAAAGAAATGTCCAGCTCTTCAGGAGGCTGAGGCAGGACAGCTTGGGCCCAGGAGTTTAGGGCCAGCCGGGGCCACATAGCTGCACTGTCTCAAAAGCAGAAACTGAAGCTCCAGTTTGTTAAGTCAACCAGTCACAAGTGGCGAAGACGGGAGCAGTACACAAACTCCTGTCTCCTTTCTCCTGGCTGGCGCCCATCCTCTTGGGCCACAGGGGCTCCCCGGTTGTGGGGGCCAGAGGCCAACTCTCTGGGTGAAGAGTGGATTGTGAGGACAAGGGGGCAAGAATGGCAGTGGTGGCTCAGACCAATCGGCAGACTATGGGGGAGAAGCTGAGGCACCCGGAAAGTGGTTTTTGCTTGAGGTGGGTGATACAGACGTTCACTTGTTCGTTCAGCAAACGTGTGTCATGCTGAGCAGTTGCTTCTGGGCACTGTGCCCACAGCAGCTCCTCTGCCGCCTCCCGGAGCTTCCTGGCCCATCCACCCCCAGGCCCCAAGCCACGTAAAGCCATTGCCTGTGCCCTGGGCCCTCTAGAGTCTCAGCTTTGGGTCTCATGCAGAGGAAAGGAACCCAGCCCCCTGATGTGACCCTGGTCTGAGGAAGCACACGCTGGGGCTACGTGGCTGGGCAGCAGTGAGTTTCAGGGACACTGGATACCCCCTTCCCTTCCTCGGCAGGTCCTGGCATGGGACGAGAAGGCTGTCCGGTCACATTCTGCAGACTCTACAAGATGAACCCTTTGGCTTTTTTCCTTTAGTTTGTTTTTTAAAAACCCAAAACCTTAGTAGCTCTTTCTTCCCCAAAGACGTGGGCTCTAGAAGACTCCAGTGCCTGTGCTCAAATAAGATAGGGTCTCAGAGGAACACTCCACACGGGTAGCTTGTGTTGGTGAAATGCGTGAGCTTTGCGCTCAGTGTCAGCCCGGTCCCTGAGTAGAAGCAGAGCTGTCCCCTCGTGTGACAGCAGAAGGCTGGGAACCTCACCCCAGGGCTGCCCCTTCTTCCCCGGGGTGGCCCCAGGTCTCTGCCCCTCAGGTCCCCAGCATTCATGGTTCATGTGGCGTCTCGGCGTCTGGGTGTTCAGACGTCTGCTGGAGCTTCAGGCCGAGGGCGGCTGTGTGTGCGTCTGTCCTTCCCTCAGGGGAGGCTCTGGGCAGGCCGGGCGGCAGACGCCACGCGCTTCTCCTTTGCAGGAATATTCCCACCTGGGGGTATGTGCCACACAGGCTGTCGGGAGCTGGTGTGGTCGGGCGCAGGCCTGAGGTGCTGTGTGATCCGTGTGCAGATGTCCGGGGCGTCCTGGAGCCAGGCCAGGCCGGGGGAATCGTCACCGGACACGCCAGCCTGCAGGGCAACGCCTTGCGCCAACGTGTGGGGAGGTGGTCCAGGGCTCCCGCCCTTCGGCTCACAGAAGTCCTCTTGAATTTGAAGCAAGGCTGAGGCTGCTCTTCCTGAAGGAAGAGAACAAAGCAAAGGGGAGGCTGGAGGTAGGATGGCCCCGCCCCGCCCCGCCCGGCGCAGAGCCTGGGGTATTTTCAGTGGCTGTTTTGAAGGTTTGGGCTCCAGGGCCTGAGATGAGACCTAATTCACCGAGTCAGAGACACAGAAGGGGGTGCGGGGCAGACGGGTTCAGTTTGGGGCTCACTGAGACCAGTGCTCTGGGGTAACAGTGCAAATGTCCAGTGAGCGTGGTCTCTGGATGTGGAACATGAAGGAAGTCTGGGTGGAGGGCAGTTTTGAGAGTCACTGGGTGGGAAGTACTCTGTCACACAGGTAGATGAGGAAAAGGGAAATATGGGGAGCAAATGAACGGGTCAAAGGGAGTCTTCATACAGTCGGTCCCCCAGGTATTTCAAGGGAGCCGAGGAAGAGCCAGGAGCATATTGTGTCCTGAGCTCTGAAGAGTCTCCCCATGGCAGGGCTCCCCAGGAGGGCAGCACATCTGCAGGCTGGCACTGGCCACCCCGGCCTCAGGGCGCCTCTGTGTATCTCCCTGGGGTTGGAGGCCCTGCCTGTGTGTGCCAGGTGCTCAGGGTGCCCACCTCCGGAGGCTCTGCTGGTGGGAGGTGTCCTGGCCTGGCAGCCGGGGAGCAGGGCTGACCATGAGGATGCACAGCCCAATAAGGACCAGGCAGGTGGGCACGGCACCGATGAGGACCTTGAGGGTCACCACCACCTCTGCCGCCTGCCTGCAGGCTCCTACCTTGTACCCTGCAAACCTGGAGAAAGAGCACGCAGCTGTCCAGTCAGGGCCTGCCAAGCGCCCCACCCGCTCTTGCAATTTGACTTCATTTCTTGGCCAAATGAGCCTAATTATGGAGGAGGGCAGGCCAAGGGCAGAGAGAGGAGTTTGGAGAGCTGAGAACAGGAGAAGCTGGGGCTTCTGAGGGTACTTCCTCCAGGAAAGGCCCCAGCCAGGTGCAGAGACTGGGAGGTGGCTCTCCACGCTCCACAGCGCAGCTGCGCCCGAGGCAAGAGTCATCCCAAACAGTCAGGCTGGCGGCTCTGCCCTCCTCCTCCCACCCTGTGAGTCTTTTGTGCCTCTGGGTTTCCCCGACCCTGGGACTGACTCTAGACTGAGGGCAGAGATGCCCAGGGCACATGCGCCTGAAAGCTTGGTGAAGAAGACGTAGGATGTGTAGAAGATGGTCTCCAGGCCTGGGCCGTGCTGGTGCTGCAGCTGGAAGTCGTCCACCACGTCCGGCAGCATGGACCTGGGGCAGATGCGAGACATTAGCCCCCTTGAGCACCTTGACCTCGACCGCCAGCAGCCTGTGAGTGCTCTAGGGACAGAGACCAAGCTGGCGTCCTCTCTGCTCAGGACCAGCCACAGACAGCAGTGCATGAGCTTGTTCCCTGACCCCGGTGTTCCTGCCGTGGGTGCCCTTTTCACAGGGTCCCCTTCTCCCATGAGGCTGGATACAGGAGCCTAGGACAGCGGGGGACATGGAGGAAGAAGCACCCTTATGGAGGCACACGAAGCTCCCCAACCACCCCTGCCTCCCCTGCCTACCAGGGGAGCAGCAAGGACACAGCAATGCTCACGCCAGAGACAAAGGCCACAACGTATGCCACAGGTGCTATGGGCGCAGCAGCCAGCAGGACTGCAAAAGGCACCATCACCTGGGGAGACAGACGGGGCTGTCCTCCACCTGCTCCCTGGGCTTGCTCGTCAGCCACCGCTTTTCAGCAGTGGGGCCCTGTGCCAAGCCCTGCAGACAGGGATGCAGGACCATCCCTGCCAGCTCAGGGCTCAGGCTCCACAGTCATACTCCAGCCCCCCCAGCCTCACTTCCTGCCTCACTCACACAGATGCCAAGGGCTGACGTCTTCTTCCCAAATCGCTGGAGAACCCACTCCCACAACGGAGTGCTCAGCACAGCCGAGACCTGTGAGCAGACAGCATCACCACACCAGGACCTCAAAGCCCAGCCTTGGCCCTGCCCCGGCTTAAACCACGCCATTAACTCTGACCCTGGCCACAGTTCGTGCCGTGATGTAAGGAAGGTGACCGAGACCAGTGCAGAGTCCAGAATGCTGACCACTAGAGCTCTGGGCCAACGTGGGCCCAGTGCAGGCCCCAAGTGACCCTCCCAGGTCCCTCACCAGGACGGTCAGCACCAGGCCCTGGACGTGGTCTCGCAGCTGGGTGGCGTGTGTGCAGAACAGGACCAGGTAGCTCTGCTCCACCTGTGGGTACGGACAGGGTGTGGGCACGAGGGGACAGCAGGATCAGGATCGCAGAAGCCAAGGGCAAGCACAGGGTCTTGAGTCTGGCTCTCCTGCGGGACCTTGAACTCCGGTGCAGTCAGCCCACACAGGACGCGCAGCGGTGAGCACGGGGCCTGGTCCACCCCCTGCCCTCGCGCAGCGAGCACCAGGTGGATTTTGCATGAGAGGAAAGCGGCCCCGGCCATCAGCTTCCCAGGACCTGGGCCCCCAGTCCCACCGAGCCAGCCAGGTCTCCTTGCAGTACCAGCCCCTGGCTTCTCCTGTAAAACTCCAGGTGACTCTGGCCAGCCCAGGACCCCGGGTCTCTGCAGGGAGCCCCAGCAGGGCCACAGCCGTGGCAGTGGGGTCGGCTGGCTGAGGTACCTGCACTGCTGCTGAGATGAACAGGAAGGAGACCACCAGCTTCACATAGGGTGGGTGCCGGGCTGTGAGGCCCAGCCCAGCCAGGAAGCCGAGGCCTTGGGCTGAGGCCGGGTCAGCAGGGTCTGAAATGCAGGAAGAGATGCCTTGGCTTGGCAGACTTCAGAGCCCCCACGAGGAACCTGGTCCCAGCTTCTGCCTGCCCCCTCACTGCACCTCCATACCTGGCTGCTCCTTGACCCCTAGCCAGAGCAGGCTGATGCACACAGGGTAGGTCAGGGCCACCACACCGGCCGCGATGGAGTAGAGGCGGGTCTGGGGATGGACGGAAATGGCTGACGGAGGAGTCTCCAACCCGAGGAGGCGGGGCGCAGGGCTTCCCACCCGGGGCAGAGGGGCTGTCAAGTTTCCATCCAGAATGTCCCTGAAGTCGCTTATGCTCAGAGCAGGGCTTTCAGAAGGTGTTGGGGGCTGGGGCGCTGTGCTGGGTGGATGAGTCCATCGCTGTGATCCTGACTTGATGGCAGCACGGGAGGTGAGGGGAGTGTAGGGCAGCAGCCTGGGGACTGTCTGCTCCCTGGCCTTCCTCTCGGTCCTCCCTTTGCTCTCAGCTTCCAGGCAGCCACGAGGTGAGCAGCTCTGCTCCATGCACCCTTCTGCCATGATGTTCCGCCTCCCCTCAGGCCCCAGCAAGGGAGCCACCCAGCAGTGGGAAAAGCCTCTGACACCATGAGCCAAATAAGTCCTCCCTCCTCGGGTTGTCTGTCAGGTATCTGGTCACAGTGACAAACAGCTGACTAACAGGGCCCTTCACCCAAGCTCGGGGACGCTGGGCTCCCTGTCAAGTCCCTGGGGAGCTGGGTGGAAGGGCCTGGGTGCTGCTTCCACATGCATCCCTTGTGGTTACCCCATGCCTGCTGCCTGCTCCCTGTGAAGGAGGCATGGGTGCCGCCAGGGATCACAGTGCTCACTCTTGTGCGTGTTACTGGGGACTGCAGCCAGGGGAGCTCTGCTGATGGGCTGGCACTTGGGCTCATGCCCTCAGCAAGAGGAACAGGGAAGGAATAAGGGCACAGTGACCACCCAGAGGCCTGGTGGAGAAGCAGCCCTGGAGGAGGAGACCCACAGAGGGCTCTGGGCTGCCTCGGGCACTCACTGCATCCGGGGAGACAGCAGCAGGCCCAGGAAATGCACAGTGGTTGGACCTGTGGGCACTGGACACAATCAGCCCGTGGACGCTGGCTCCCATCAGTGTCCCTGCCATTTCCATGGTCATCCCTGGAGACGGAGCGCATTCGAGTGACCACGCCAGGCAGGGGCTCCAGAGGCAGCCCCCCCGCCAGACCCTGAGCTGCACTCACGGTACGCAGTGGCAGAGTCCCGCTCCTGGGGACTCGGGCTGAGCAGCATGGTGAGCGCTGTGTAGGGCACCTGGAAGAACTGGGGTGGCCCGGCGCACCTTAGGATGGTCCTTTAAGGCCCACAACCACCCACCCCATCCCGGCACGCAGAGCCCAGTCTGCCCCATCTCCACGGGTCATCTGAACCGCAGAGTTGGAGGTGCACTGGGCCAGGCAGTTTCCAGGCACGGGTGGGCAGTGACAGTGGAGGACTTGTGGCGTCCTCTCTTTCCCCCAACAGTAGCCACAGCCAGCAGTGGCGTCCGAGAGGACCAGGCCCAGAAAACGAGGCCTCACTTACCGTGGCCAGGCCTTGGAAGAGGCAGTAGAACACTGTGTACCAGAGGCCATGCAGGCTGGGGAAAGGAGGCAGGAACCACAGGAAGAAGTAGGCCAGGCTGAGGAAGGGCGTGCAGCCCAGCACCCTGCAGAGCATGGCTGAGGTGGGGCGAAGTGCCAGGACGGGACAGCCCGGCCCTGCTCTGGTCCTGGAGAGGCCTGGGCCGGGGCTCCCAGGCCGGGAAGCAAGGTAGCAGAGGGGCACTCGGGTGCATGGTGGTGCCATTCCCAGCTTACAGACACTGGAACATAAGCAAGTTGCGCTTCCTCTCTGAGACCTTCCGTGGCCCCCACTGAGCCTGACCACACTGGGCCACAGGGCAGGCCCAAGAGCCTCACAGACCTGTCAAGCCCGGTGCCATGGTGAGGGAGTCCCCAGGGGTGTCTCCTGGACGCCCTGGTGCTCCTAATGCACTGTCCAGTACTGTTCCCTAACCATCCATGGGTGTCCACTGAGTCTGTGGCAAATAGCTGTCCCAGGCCAGGGGCAGGCTCCTGGTTCCAGAGCACGGAGAGGCTGCTCACCAGGGCATGAGTCGTCCGGAGCCCGTCCTCCTGCTTCTGTTGATGAGGAACCCGGCCACAGGGTCGGCCACTGCCCCGGACACCTTCCCTCCAAACAGCACAAGGGACACCTGGGCAGCGGGGATCTGAAACCCACAAGGAGGAGATGACAGCCAAGGGCCAACAGAGCAGACATGGTGCCAGCCATGCCCACTGCTGCCAGGAGGGAGACTGGGAACCCAGCCGGAGCGAGGCCAGGCGGGAAGGGCCGCTGGAGCCACTGCCAGGACTGCCCGAGGCTCTGAATGCAGGGAGGAAGGGGTCAGCAGGGAGCTGACAGCTGCTTTTCCATCGCCACTCTGCCTGGTCACCCTGGAGAAAACTCAAGGGACCTTCAGCCGGGTGCCTCCCTCACTCGCTCAGGCTGACAGGCAGACACTGTGCTCCATAACAAAACGTTGAATTGATTCTTCTGACTATATAAATGATACACTCATTAAAAAAACATTCAAATGATACAGAAAGCCATTAGGCAAAGCTCATCTGAAACCTCATCATCCTGCGGCAACTGCAGAAGCATTTTGAGGAGCTTCCTTTCATGTAATTCTTTCTGTGGGTTTGACATTTATAATTTGATGTTAATGGAATCAGGTCAGTATCATTAAATCATGACTACTTTATTTTTAAAAGTTTTGGGGTTTTTTTGTTTTGTTTTTTGAGACAGGGTCTCACTATGTGTCCAGGCTGGTCTTGAACTCACTGTGTAGCCCAGGCTGGCCTCCAGCTCGAAGGATCCTCCTGCCTCAGCCTCCCAAGTGCTGGGACTACAGGCTTGTGGCACCGCACCCAGCTTAAAAATTTGTTCTTGTTTACCTTCTATCCTCCACCATTCCATCCTGCAGCCAACGTTAACACCTGGGTGCCTGTCCTTGTGATTTCCTCCAAACGCATTTTAACCATGTACAGACATGCCTGGGTGCACTCAGTACACACACATCTGGGAGAAGAAGGTTGCTTTCTACGCTCTTCTCTACTACTCTTTGTTCAGCACTGCTGTCCGAGTCAGCTGGTAGAGAGCATTCATTTGAGTGGCTTCACAGGGGCCCATTTTGTGGGTCTAGTACCAGTGACTTGTCCACCTGCTCCACAGTGGGGCATTCACGTGGTTCCTCACTTTCTTACTACAAACAGGCTGCAGTAATCATCCAGGGAGGCCACCCTTCATCACGTTTGGGTCAAAGGCTGTCCACCAAGGATGGGGAGGGGACGATCAGATGCCAAGGACGGTGCAGGCGGGGACTGGGCTGCTGCCCACACTCACCTGGGCCACGTCAAGCAAGAAGAGCTGCAGGTAAAAGGATGTGGCACTGGAGGCCACCTGGTTGGGAATGCCACCAAAGCCATAGCACACCTTGGTACAGAGTGAGAGGCGACCGGCTCCGCTGTCCTGCAGGAGACATGGGAACAGCCCTGTGTCCCCACAGACAGACAGACAGCCCCACACGGCCCGAGGACCCGGGATGTCTGCGGGCCTCGCCAGCAAACCCTTCAGCCCATTTTGCCCTCAAATCATCCTGAGGGGAAGTAAGAGAATTTTAAAGAAGAACGTGAGCCATGAGCTGAAAGTCTTTCTAGGGGGAAAGTTCTTCCCTACTTTTCCACCAGTGCTTCCTGCCTCAGCCTGCTTTAATTTACCAAGTCAGCAACTGGAGTGAACGATGGGTCAGGAGAGCTGAGCTGAGCCCTCTGTCAGCAACTCCCCACGTGACCTTGAATGAATCACTTTCTCCCTGTCAGGCTTGTTTTCTCATCTGTCAGCTGCAGTATTCCTGCCAGCTTCCCGAGCTTGTTCTGATGATAAATGACGGTGCCTCTGAGCTGACAATAGGTGCTCAGGACTTTCGCCTGCCAGTTGCTGAACCACGGGAAACTTGAAATCAGCTACGGTGAGACTATTTACCCCACAGAAATCAGAACACATTCCAAGTTAGAGCTCTCCCCAACCTTTCTTTTCCTGGAGAGACTGTTTATCACTGACAAAAGGTAATGTTTATGGGCCTGGAAAAAAAAAAAATATATAAATGTTTTTCTTTTTTTTCCTCACAAGCCCTTACGCCACTGGGGAAGACCCAACTTGAGGGCTGGGGATGTAGCTCAGGGGTACCACGCCTGCTGGCAAGCAAGGTCCTGAGTTCGATCTCCGGTACCAAGAAAAACCCCAAAAGCCAACTTGAGTATTTGGCCTTGAGCCCTGTGCCGCTGCACGCTGCCCAACAAGCATCTCAGCTCAGTGTGGTCATAACCCAGCTCCCGGTTTCCTGGATTCAGAGCCAACTCCCTCCAAACTCTCATTCCTGCTGGGCTAAGCAGCACCACTGCTCCGGGGCTCAGCCACAGACCAGGACGTCATCCTTGACTTGTCTCTTCCAATTCCCTGTCACATCTATCAGTGGCTGCTGTGCTTCTGGTTCTGTTTCCTATAACTGACTCTTTACGCAGGAGATAGTGACTTTTTTTGGAGTGGGCCAGGCAGTACTGGGACTGAACCCAGGGTCTTCATACTAAGCTACATCCTTAGCCCTCTTTTATTAGATTTTGAGACAAGGTTTTGTTTAGGTTTTTTGTTTGTTTGTTTGTTTTGAGACAGGGTCTCGCTATGTAGTTTAGGCCGGGCTTAAACTCTCAGCAGCCCTCCTGCCTCAGCCTCCCGAGTGGTGAGATGACAAGCGTGTGCCATCACACCTGGTTTGAGACAGCGTCTTGTTAAGTCTCTGAGTTGCCCTGGAATTTTCAGTCCTCCTGCCTCAGCCTTCCAGAGTGCTGGCATTACAGGCGTGCCCCACCATGCCTGGCTTGTGATCTTTTAATATGAATCCGATCATGTCCCCTCCCTGTTGAAAGTGTTCAACTACTTGCCATTACAGTTTGAGTAAACTCCCAGGCCATCTCCGAAGCCTACAGGAGGAGCCCACTCAGCCAAACTCCCTAACCCACTTACTGCCAGCCCTTCTCCTGAAGGGACGGCGCCTTCCTGCTCTTCCCTGTGACCACGCCTGCAGCTGCCCCAGGACCTTTCCAGGTCCCATTTCTTCCACCTGAGTAGGCTCTTGTGCGTCTCAGGGCAGACTCCCGCCGTCCAGGTGTGAGCCGAAATCCCAGCCCCTTGGAGGCACTTCCTGACCACCAAGGGCCTCTCAGCACTACTTCCTGTCTGGTGTGTCCTCATGTATCCCTGCCTCTCCCTACCAGACAAACTCTCCAGAGCGTCTATAACCTTCGCTCCCTATGTGCTCCAGCACCTAGAACAAGAGTTGGCATGTAGTAAGTGCTGAAAATATACTTTGAGCAAGACGTGGTCACCAGGACACTGCAGAGTGCTATTTCTTTGCCTGTAACCCCAGCACTTGGGAGGCTGAGGTGAGCCTGGGCCAGCTGCGCAGTGACAGCCTACCACAAACCCCAAACGCCGGAGCCTTCCTTTCCCAGCCTTTGCTAGGATGAGCTTGGCGGAGTCCTATCTGCGGACCCCACAGCCGGCCCCTTGGAGGGAAGGAGCTCCAGATAAGGGTTATCATGCTCCCTGCACTGGCTTCCTACCCAGGGGAAGTCACACTTGAGGCAGGATATGTTCCTCTGACGTTTGTGTGAAAGTTGCTTCAGCTTCCAAAAAAGTGTAAGGCCAGGCAGAAGCTACCAGCAGCCTTTCCTGCCACAGGGGGTCTGTTGCTCCACTAAATGGGCAGGGCAAGTGTTTAGAAGGCAGCAGACCCCCAAAAGAAATTCCAGTTGAAACCAGGGGTACAGACTGTACAATGGGGTCCTTGGCCACCCGCTCTGGACCCCCGTGCCTCTCAGGAGCTTTCCTACCACTAAATACCTTCAGAGCCCCGGGAGGCTGCCAAGTGCCAGTCCGTCCTCTTGCTTAAGCCACAGCGTGGGGCACTAAGCCAGACAGAGGTGTGAGCAGTAACATGTAGCGCACAGCACGCGGGCTGTGCCATGCCAGGCTGGCACTGTGCTGCCAATGTCAGTTTGCCCTCTTGCCATTAACCTCACCCCAGATTTCTAAATATCCTTGGAAAATGACAGTCCCCAAAGGGCCCCCCGCCCCCGCACACAGCTGGGATCTGGCTTGTGTGGTCAGGTGGCCTTGAACTCTCGGATTCAGGCTACCCTCCTGCCTCAGCCTCCCCGGGGGCACTACGTTCTGTGTGGGGCCAGCCCAGTGCTTTGCGCTGCTGTCAGTGCACAGATGCGGAGGGGACTGCTGGGCCCAGGCAGGTGCAGGCCCCGCGCGGTGCGGCACAGCCCGAGTCCCCTCCCCGGAGCCCAGCGCCGGGTCCTCCGTGTTCCCCAGGCGACCACCCGGCGCTCCCGGCCCGGCCAAGGGCGAGGAGGACCCGCTCGGACGCCTGGCCCGATCCTGTCCGCGCCCCCGGGCCACCCCCCCGCTCACCGCCGGCCGCTCTGCCTGGGTGCTGGCCGGGCCCCGGCCGGGTCCCGCGGGCTCCGCCATCGAGCAGCTCGCAGCGCCCGCGCCGCCCCTCCGGACTGACAGGGGGACGGATGGACACGCCCAGGGCCGCGGGGGCGGGAGCCGGCTCGGGAGGCTGGCTGTCAAGCCGCGTTCGTCCGTTCACGAGGAGCGAACACCACCAGCGAGCAAGACCCTGCCTCAAAGGCGAACGCAAGGCCGGGGATGGAGCCAGCGCAGCACCTGCCTGGCTAGCGCAAGGTCGTGAGCTCGATCCCCGGTTAAAATAAACAAAATAAAAGTAAAAAGCTGAAATGGTGACAAGACGGCAGGAATAGACTGCACCACAGAATGGAAGTGTGCTGAGCCTGGCGGCCCAGGGCCTTCAGAAACGCTCACCAATCGAAAGGACTCCAGGGTCTTGCCTTGAACAAAGGGTTGAACAAAACAAGCCCCAAACCCCAAACCGTGGGGGCCAAGCCTGCATTTGGAAAGCGCGGGGTAAATGGGAATGGGAGAAGCCAGCTCTGCAGAGTGAACTTGGGCGGAATAAGAGAAGAGGTGAAAGCAGAAATGAAGGCACTCACGCGCCTGAAAGTGCTGCAGTGGACCTCAAGCAGGACAGCGGCTTTCCGCTCTTTCCTATGCCTAGGACTTGGGAGCTTTCCAGTTCTACACACTGGGTCCTCCAGTTGCCCTGGGATCTTGCAATTGACAGGCCCTGTTCCTTTCCCCAGGCAGTTTTGCCATGCCCCATGTAACAGTGGCCCACGCCTGTAATCCCAGCACTCAGGGAGGCTGAGGCAGAGGATGGCATGTTTGAGCCCAGCCCTGGCAATTTAGCAGCTTAGCCAGACCCTATCTCAAAAATTTAAAAAAATGGCTGGGAATGTAGCTTAGTACCAAGGCCCTGGGTTTAATCTCCAGTCACACACGAAAAACTGATGGAAATATATATATATATATATTTCTTTTCCTTTGCCGTACTGGGGATTGGACCCAGGCTCTGCACGTGGAGCGACACAGCTAGCCCGTTATTGCTCAGCAAGACTCAAACTTGGGATCCTCCTGCTTCTGCTTCAGACTGCTAGGATTACAGGTGCATCACCACGTGCAGCTCTCTACACGCAATTCTAACAAAGGAAAAGACGACCCACAGAATGGGAGAAAATACGTGCAGATTTTAAGAGATTTTTATTGGGATATGTAAATAACTCTCAATAGAAAAATACTAATTTCAAAATGGGCAAAGGAATAGACGTTCTCTAAAGATATGGTACCCGTGGACAATAAGCACACAGAATTACACTCATGTCATTAGGGAAGTAACAAAGCTACACGCTATCTCTTCACGTCCACTAGGGCAGCTACAATTGAACAGAAGACAGTACAAGTGTAACAGGTGCCAGAAAGATGTGGAGAAAGCAGAATTCTCCCACTGCTGGTGGGAAGAAAACACCTGCAAGCCTTTGGAAGCCTGGTGGCTCCTCAAAATGTTACCATAGGGTCCCACAAGCCGTCTTCCGCTCCCACGTATACAGGGCTGCACAGGAGTGTTCATCAGCAGGAATACATGTTACATGAAGTAGCGAGGGGGTGGAAAGGACCCCGATGACTCTCAGGTTATGAATGGATACATGAGATGTACTATGCTCCTAAGTGGACTATTAGTGGGCGATAGAAGGATGATGAGCCTTGCCAATAGCCACTCACCAAAGACCACACACTGGAGGATTATATTTGCAATGTCTGTAACAGGCAGGCAGATGGACACTTTTGGTTGCCTGGGGCTGGGACAGGGTGTGCTTACCACGGGTACAGGGTTTTAGAAGGGATGAAAACTTACCTAAAAGTAGATGGTGGTGATGGTTGTGCCGCCCTGTGAATATACTACACTGAAAACCACTGTCTCTCAACGCTTCTAAAAAAATTATATAGCTATTTTTCTTTTCTTCTTTTTGACACAGGGTCTCACTATATCGACGCACTGGTCTCAAACTCCTGGGCTCAAGCGATGCCCTGATGCAGCTCCGCATGCTGGGACCCAGCGTGTTTGCAGTGAGCCTCAGGCCAAACTGCCGGGACTGCAGAACAATAGAGTCTGACAGAGTAAAACAGAAGCATTTTCCCTAAAAGCTATTATTCTACTTAAAGTGATGGTATGTTTTTCTAGTGTGGCTTTTAATAAGAAAGATAAATTAATTACAATCAGATAAAACAGGATTAAAATAATTGAGCCAACTGCCTTTTAATTAAACTACAGACTGACACACTGTTGGCCTTCTGTCAGAGGAGGTCGACTTACAGTTTACTTTGCCTCATAGTTTTGGAGGTGTTGCTGTCTGCTGGCCTGTTGCTTTTAGGCCTGCACGCGACAGTGTATCACTGTGGGAGGACAGGATGCAGAAAGACAGAAGGGGTAGAAGGTCCCAATGCTCCTTTATAGTTTTTGGAGACAGGGTCTCACTGTGTAGTTCAGGCTGAACTTGGACTGTGTGGCCAGGCTGGCCTCAAACTCGTGCCTGAGTGCTGGGATCTCAGGTGTGTGCCGCCACACCCAGCCTTCCAGTACCTGTCCCCTTCAGAGGCACAGCCCCAGCGACCCAAACTCCCCCCACTAGGCCTCAACCACTTCCTGCTGGCACCACAGGCTCAGGACTGAGTGTTTGGACCCCTGGAAATCCCAACCACAGCAGGCACCTTTAACATCTGCAGGACGGACACCAACACAGGGGTCACTGGTGACTTGGATCCTGTTAGCATCCTAAACATTTCTACTGTGATTTCATATGCAAAGAAACCCTTTGAAACAAATGACTAAGAATCACATCTCAGTCTACTAAAGAGGCCACTTCTATTTAAGGATTTAGTGTGATGACCTTTTTAAATTTTTATTTATTTTTGTGGTACCGGGGATCGAACTCGGGACCTCACACTTTCGAGGCAGGCGGTGGAACCACTGAGCTAAATCCCCGGCGTTACCTTTGTTTAAACTTGTGGTTTGTACTCTGGAAGGCAGAACAAAGGAATAACCCTCACTAGCAAGTCTTCACACTGGTTCAACTCAGGATACATAGGATGGCTTAAAATACAAGCCACCACAGAAGCTGGCACCAAACATATCATGTTTACATTTCTGAGTATTAAATGAAGATAATGTTGATTAAAACAAAAGCACCTAATACATATTTGTTGCTTCTCACACTGAGCCAAGTAAAAATGACAAATATATCCACATGTAACTATAAATTATCCCCAGATCCTTTTGATGAGTATGTCATCCTTGAGAGCAGTTCAACCATTAGCAAAATATTGCATTTAAATAAGGCACTGAAATAAATGCGTATCACACCACATTATCAATACACTGAAGCAGTGTGAGACGTACAGAGAATGACTTTTTTTTTTAAATGAGGATTTTTTTTTTTTGGTACTGGGGATCGAACTCAGGACCTTGTGTGAGGGAGGCAGTGGAATCACTGAGCTAAATCCCCGGCCCGAATATGATTATTTTTAACTTTGATAATGCATAGTAATTTAACCAGTAAATCAGAATTTGTAAAATTAAAAATGTACTTGCGTACATTTGCCCTAATTACTTAAAACTGACAACAGCTTTGAAACAGTTGCTTAGGTTAAACTGTATTCCACACCTAATGTTTGGCTATTTTCAAGTTTTCTCTTCCTTGGCAAATTCAGTTCGTGCTTGCCAAGGTCAACGTGTATTGCATAGTCTACATGTTTGCTTAACAACTTTACAACTTTTAAACTTTCAAGTGAACATTTTTTTTTGTTGTTTTTTTGGTTTTCTGAGACAGGGTCTTACTACTACATAGCCCAGGCTGGCTTCAAACTCATGGCGATCCTCCTGCCTCAGCCTCCCCCCCCCCCCGCCCCCCATGCTGAGATCACAGGTGTGCCCAACATGCCCAGCCTGAAGTAAACAGCTTTTATCAGATGACTACTCTTTTATTTATTTATTTATTTATTTATTGGTACTGGGGATCAAACTCAGGGGCTTGTGCTTGCGAGGCAGGCAGTGGAGCCACTGAGCTAAATGCCTGGCCCAGATGACTATCCTTTTAGCGAACCTCTGAGACATTAGTCACACTAACAAGTTTTCAGTGAAGAAGATGAAGGTATTGCTGATGACAGGCCTTTCCCTGTGGGACCCCGCTCCGCGCTGTTATTTCACACATATGCACAAACCTCCACTGTCTCTGGGTCACTGGGAAAATCTGCAAAGGAGGCTTTTGTTATTGAGACTCCTCACTGTGTCGTTCAGCTGGCTCTGAACTATGTAGCCCAGACTGGCCTCAAACTCAGTGATCTCCTGCCTCAGCCTCCTGAGTGCTGGGGTTAGGTGTGTACCACCACACCCGGCAACAAAGGAGGCTTTTCTGTCAGTGTATCAGAAACACTCATAAGAGATGTCCATTAGAGAAATACAGGGAGAACCATATACTGATTATAATTCTGCAAATAAAAATGCTTCATGATAGGTGTAGATGGAAGATTCTTGTAGATTCCTGAACGTATACTAATAATCATCCTATTTTCTGCATGTGAAAGTTCATTGATTTACCATATACTTTTTAAGAATGTCACTATTTCTGCTTCAATAGAAGGGTCTGACACTGCTGTGTAAACGTAACTGGCAATATTTTCTGTGATGCGTGTCACTCCCTAGGCACGCACCGGGCAAGGGAAGAGGCTCGCTCCGTCCTCTGTCCTCTGTCCTCCCAGGCTGCCGTGCAGAAGGCTGGGAGCTAGGAGAGGAAGCGCCTGACAGAAGCGGGTGTCGGGTCGCCCAGTTGTGTAGTGAGCTTCCTTCTGATTCCCACTCAGATGTCACAGCTGTCTCATATGCGCTACAGAGCAGGATACGTCAAGGGTGGATCAGGTCAGGGCACAGCCTCAGGGAAACCGGATACACTGAGGCAGCAGCGGGAGACCAGGGTGGGGCACACAGGCTCTCCGGAGCGGCCGAGGGTCACAACAGCCAGGATGTTCCAGACACAGCGGGCCAGGCTTTTGCGGGAGGTGGAGGAACAGGGGTTTTCTTTTGTACCAGGGATGGAACTCCAGATCTTGAGCTTGCGAGGCAGGTGGCAGCACCCCTGAGCTAAATCCCTGGCCCTGGAATAGGTATTTTTGAAGTTTGCCAAGAGCTTCTCTTAGGCCTTCGCATCCCTGCAGGTCCTGAGACCCATGCAGGGCGTCTGGGAGGCCCAAACCCTCTTTAGTGATACCCCGTTAACACATTTCTTTTTCATCCTGTCTTCAGTGTAGTTTAATGGTGTCTTCTAGGGGCTACAGACATGCGACACTGTCACACAGTGAACGCAGAAGCAGATAAAACCCCCAGCTGCACTCTAAGGTTGACATAGACATCTGCAGGAAAGGAAACAATGCCACTTTTCTTACTTGCTCTTTGTGTGGAAGTATAGTGGTACCTCAGTTCAGGAATTTGATTCTTTCCACAATTCTGGCTGGAAACAGTTGGGTGAGAACCCAATCAAATTCAGTGGTGCTGACCTGGTAGGGAAATTTGAATGGGTCCTCACCCAGGTCAGTTCGTGACCAGAATCACGGAGAACCGAGTTCGTGAACCAAGGTGGCACCGTATTATCAGAGACGGGTCTCGCTGTGCTGCCCAAGCTGGCCCTGAATTACTAGGTCTAAGCGACCCTGCTACCTCAGATCCCCATGTAGCTAGGGCTACGGGCCATACATCACGCCTAGCTTGGAAGCTACTATTCTTAAGCAAATACACATTTTAGAACTTTGAATTTTGCATATATTTATATAGAGCCCATATAAAAGGTTTTGAGGCCAAAAACTTTCCAGCATGCACCCCTCACACTGTGAACATTACTGTTTTATGGGTCATGCAACCCTCGGCAGACTCAGTTGAGCAGATCATTTGTAAAGCAGCTCCTTAAGCTTATTTCCAAGAAAGTTCTGTCTTGGAGACAGGGTCTCACCACTACATTCAGGCTGGCCTCGAACTCACAGTGATCCTCCTGCCTCATCCTCCCAGGTGTGCGCCTCCACCCCCGCCAGAGGGAGACTGAATCTAACTGGGATACTTCAGACTGGCTGGTTTCGTTGAAAGTCTAATACACAAAGCGCGCATCCCTTGATTACATCAGGATGTATAATCAATCCTGTAATGAACACAAAAGTTAACTCTCATATTCAAAGTGAGTGGTAACAAATGAATGGCTAATCCCAAACGTTAGCGAAAAACAGATCTCCAATTTTGGGGTGCTGAGGGAAAGAGAATGAACTGGGGTTCCTGGAGAGAATTTTTTTTAATTTAGGAAGTATAAAAAGGTGAGTAGGCAGATTAATCTTGACATTATCCTAAATTGCACAATTTTACTCCTAAGTGAAAATACAACCTCTATACCGGTCCCAACAAATACCTGAGTAAATCATCTCAGTAGGGTGAACACTGAGAAGGCTTTGAGGTTCAGACACAGCGATGGTGGAAACACGTCATTATCTTAGTGTTTCTCTGTCTTGTCTTGACAGGGCCTTGGCACGAGGCCTAGGCTGGCTGTGAACTCCATATAGGTGCGCACCCCCACAGCCGGCTCACCCCAGACTTCTGATTCCATCTGAGGCACAAAACAATTACACTGATGCTTTTAACCTGCAATTGTAATTTTTAATGTATTGCTGTTTAAAAATTCTGAAATAGCTAAAATTTAGATAAATGCCTGTTGTTTGGAAATGATATTTAAGTAACTAATGCTGTGAACACTTCTGTTAACTTGTACCATATGAAGATCCTCTTGTCTGAGACGGGGTCTTGCTGTGTAGTTCTGGCTGTCCCTGAACTGTGTAGCCCAGGCTGGCCTCAAACTCACAATGATCCTCCCGCCTCAGCCTCCTGAGTGCTGGGATTGCAGGTGTGCAGCACCATGGCCAGCCCTTTTTAAGATTCTAAAAGATACAGTTAATATATGTTATGTTGATTAACTGGTATTTGAAAATAAGTGTATTTTTTTTTCTGAGTAGCCTTTTGGAAAATACAAATACAAGTACAGCTTCCAGTCATGTTACTTTCCTAACTTGTAATGAATAAAAATCCCCTCATCGGGCCCAGGATGTAGCTCAGTGGTGGTGAGGACAAGGTCCTGAGTTTGATCCCCGGTACTGAGAAAAAAAAACCCTCATCAGGAGAGAATTAAATATCACTAGGTCAGCCGGGTGGTTAGCTCAGTGGCACTCGCCTGGCTGGCAAACACAGGGTTCTGAGTTTGATCTCCGGTACCAAAAAAAATATGTCTAGATCAAAAGTCTAGCAAATTCGAGTTCTCCTCTCTCCCACTTCTGCATGTCCACTTGCAGCCATCACGTTTCTGCAGCTTCCAGGCTCTCAGAAACCAACACTAGGAAAGCTCTCTAAAAGGCGCGGCGGTGTTTCTGAGTCTCTGAATGATCACTGCATTCCGCAGATCTGCTTCCTCCAGAGTGAGTGACTCATCCAGAGACCTGAGGAAAGGAAGCGCTGTTGCCAGGGAGAAGGGCAGACTGCTCGGAGACCCGTGGAATTTCTCAATGAAGTCTTTGATGTGGCTTATCCTGTAAAATAGTAGACTGCTCAGATAACTCTGTGAAACTTGACTTAGCCAGTTAAAAGCAATCACTTGTGAAGGTAGTGCTCGCTTGACCAGCTCATGCACAACTCGTAAAGGCATCTGGGTATGTTGAAAAACAAAGCAATCGAGTCATTACAGGCTCTGAGCATTTGGTTTTTTTTTCCAGACAGGGTCTCGCTGTGCAGTTCAGACTGGCCTTGACCTCACTATGTAGCACAGGCTGGACTCGAATTCACAGGGATCCTCCTGCCTCAGCCTCCTGAGTGCTGGAATTATAGGTGTGTGACACCAAGCAGGTCCTAACTGATCATTTGGGCCACCTCTTTTATGGGGAGAGGTTTACTATGGACTGAACCCAGGGCCTTTGGACTGAGAGAGATCTCCAGCCATCTGTTTAATTTTTTAAAGAGTTTTGAGACAAGGTCTTATTAAACTGCTGTGGTGGCCTAGCTGGGGTGGAACTTGTACCCCTCCCAACTCAGTCTCCCGAGTGAGCTGTGATGTGCAGCTTGAGCTCTGCTGTCACAGAACATTTACAGACCCAGCTCTGGGCGTCCCAGAAGAGGTCCAGCTGTGACCCTGCACTGACACAGGGTCTCTTAAGACACCAGGCTATGCTGAGCTTTGCCTCCAGTTAGGCTTTTCCCAACACGTGGGCAGGACTGCAGTTAGCAGGAGGGCAGTGGGAGTCACGAGAGCCGTCACCACCGCTGCAGGCCTGCATGCCGTCCATCAGTCTCACTCTGGGGCTAGTGGTTTCACAGGGGGCACTGCACCGCTGAGCAAAATTAGGCTGCCTTCACTTTTAAGACGATCATTATTTTAGGTATTGCTGAAATTTAAAAAAAATCCAGACTATGACAATATGTTTTCTTAGCACTGAGAATTTCTATTTTATATTTTCGAAAGAGTATTTTTAGACTTAGTTTCACAAACGTTTATCAAGCCGCTCGTGCACTCCCATGGAGGGTAAAACAAGTGCGCAACCTAACACTGCGCCTGCTCAGACTCCAGCCGAGGGTCACTTCTGGCTCAGTCATCCACATTCCCAGCTGTGCCATGCGGCTCCCACCCACCACCCGTGCACCGCTGATGTACATTAAATTTCTTTCTTTCTTGTATGCTCGGGCTCAAACCTAAGGCCAGGCAAGTAAGCACTCTGCTACTGAGCTACACTCCTAGCCTGGTATAAAACCTCTTTACAGAGCTCACCACTAGGCGTCCATGGCACTGCATGCCTATGACATCAAGCACCCCAGAGGCAGAGGCAGGACAGAGTTTGAGGCCAAGTGAGTTTAAGGCCAGTCTGTACTGCTAGCTACTTAGGCTGAGGCAGGATGATGTTTTGAGCTCAGAAGTTTGAGTAACATAGTGAGACCCTGTCTCAAAAACAACAACAAAAAAGCATTATGTGTCTATTTCTCTGTTAATTTCATTAAAACAATATAAGCAAAAGCTACTGAAAAAGACTGAAGTCAGTATTTAATTCCACCACTCAGAAATATCCAGTATTATCAGGCTGATGTATATTTGGAATTTTATCTTTCATAAAAGTTTGCTTTTTTTTTTTTTCGGTACCGGAGATCAAACTCAGGTCCTTGCGCTTGCACAGCAGGCGGTGAAACCACTGAGCTAAATCCCCAGCCCTTGTTTTGGATTTTGAGACAGGGTCTCATTCTAGTTCAGGCTGGCCTTGAACTCACTATGTAGTCCAGGGCTCAAACCTGCAGAGATCCTCCTGCCCCAGCCTCCTGAGTGCTGGGATTACATGCATGTGCCACCATACTTGATGAATGAATTTAAACAAAATTTAAACTTAGAAAAAAATCAGACTATCCTGAAATGGAGGACTTACCTATGAGAAATGTTAAATTTCTGGATGATCCTTTTCCCATTTGCTAGCCATATCTGTATATTAGTGATGGGCTCCAAGTTATTCAGTGAAACAGCAGACAAATTATTTTTACTTTCAACTTCAACAGCCTTTGTTTTAGAAACAATTTTTGGTGTGGCACTAAGAAAATCCAGACAATAAAGTCAGACACATGCTTCACCATTACTACAAAAATTTTATACGAAGTATAGCTTTTAAGATTTTTATAAGTCATAACTGTTTCCTCAATAATAACATAAAGATATTGGTTATGTCCACAATATATAATGGTTCTAAGTATCCAACAAAATTATGCATATCCAATTAATCTGTAAGCTTAGAGAACTGTGTAAATAAAGGTTCTTAGTTTTCTAGTGTTATTTGAGTAGTTCTTTACATAATAATTTTAGAACAGTTGACAAATCCATACACTTTTAGCTTTACTTACTGCCTGGGACAAATTTCTAAAAGAAATTACAAGTTCTCTATATAGAGATTAGCTGTTGAATTATAAAGAAAACAGAGGAAACCAAGTATTTTGACACATGCCAATATTTTTATATATACGGATGAATATGTATGAACCTTGCCAATTTTGGTAATTAAAATATGAGAATTTATAAAAAGCAAAGCAATTTCACATCTCCATATTCTGTCTTTAGGTGGTTAAGTATGAAGAATATGGAAAAACATGAAAATAAAGGCTTTGATCTAGGGATGGTGGTGCATGTAATCCCAGCACTTAGGAGGCTGAGGCAGGAGAAGCACCATAGTTCAGGGCAAGCATGGGCTACACAGTGAAAGCCTATCTCAAAAAACCAATAATAAGGGCTGGGGATTTAGCGCAGTGGCACTGCACCTGCTTCATAAGCACAAGGTCCTGAGTTTGATCCCTGGTAAAACAAAAAACCAAAAAAACCCACCAATAGTAAGACTTTGATATTGATAAACTAGGCCTTTCTGATCTGATAAAACAAACAAATGAAGCTTTGATTACTACTGGAATATGTTAATACCCACAAAGGTAAATCCCAGCACTTAAGAAGCTGAGGCACCCAGAAAGAATGGCTGCTATCAAGAAATCAACCAATAACAAATGCTGGCGGAGGTGTGGGGAGAAAGGAACCCTTCTCCATTGTGGGTGGGAGAGCAGACTGGTGAGACCACTGTGGAAATCAGTATGGAGATACCTCAAAGAACCAGGGCTGGAGGTCCCATTTGACCCAGCTATTCCCCTGCTGGGGATCTTCCCAAAAGAATTAAAAGAATCATACCACAGTGATATATGTGCACCCATGTTCAGAGCGGCACAGTTTGTAATAGCTAAATCTTGGAAACAGCCCAAGTGCCCATCAACTGGAGACTGGTTAAAGAAAATGTCGTTTTTAAATAAAATGGAGTACTACTCAGCCATAAAAAATGAGAAATTAGAGACATTTATAGCTAAATGGATGCATGTTGAGGCAATACTCTTGA